TCTCTCTTTGTGTTCTTAATTACATCTTTTGCTGTGAGCTTTTTAGTTAGATGCCACCCCACTTCCTGACGCTTGGTATTATTTCCTGAGCTATAAGGGCCGTACTGCAGAAGTCCCAGCCTATGCTTTCATATCAGAGTATTTCCCCTGTGCTTTTTTTTCTAGAAGTTGCAGAGTTTATGGTCTAATCCCTAGGCCTTTGATTCACTTAGTTGACTTTTGTGCAAGGTGATAGAAAGGGGTTTACTTTTCATTTTTCACTTAGGATACCCAGATTCCCTAACACCATTTGTTAAAGAGACTGTCTTTATCTTTATCTGTCTTTATGTTTTTTGTACTTTAGTCAAGAATCAGAAGACTGTAGCCATGTTGGTTTGTCCCATTGGTCTTCCTGGCCCTTTTCTGTGACAGTACCAGGTTTTTGTTACCATGGCTCTGTGGTATACTTGAGAGTCAGGTATAGTGATGCCTCCAGCTTTACTTTTTTTTTGCTAAGAATTGTCTTGACTCTTCTAGGTCTTTTATTCTTCCATGTGAATCTTAATGTTGCTTTTTCCAGTTTGGCAAGAATTTCACTGATATTTTAATGGAATTGCATTGAATCTGTACAGCCCTTTTAAAACAAGTCTTAGTTGCTTTTTTTTTTTCTTTCTTCATCAATCTCTGTCCCTGTTCCTATTATGGGAGCAACAGAATAGCTATTCTGAGCTCCCTGTGGGGATCTCACAGGGACAGATCAGCATGGCCTCAGAATGAAAACTAAAGAAAGATGAGGGCCAACATCATCCAGCGAAGGAAGGGGGAACTGGGTTCCTGCAACCTCATGCAGCATGCACAGTTACTGTATTGGACCTCAGAGGAGGAAATCAGAACCCTGGAAAAGTCAGCCCCTGTCTTAGTCTCATCTCTAGTCCAATCATCATCCCTTGCTATTTCAATCTGACAGGGAAAAAGCGAGATTATTCATAAAATAAGCAGGCATCAATAATGTAAGTAGGACCAGCATGGTGGGGACTGGGAGCAAGATGGAGAATCTAACTAAGAAAGGAAGAATCAACTCCTGGCCCAGAAGCAGGGAGCACCTTCTGGAGGAGGAGGAAGTAATGACAAAGACACCAGTTTTCTCCCTTTATCATGCGTGTTGTCATTGAGCAACCCCCTCACCATCAGGGAAGCTTCCTTAAGGCCAGGAGCTTGTCTGCTTTGGTAGCTGATTCTCTAGGATGCTTATAATAGAGCCTGTGCCGGGCAGAGTGGCTCAATCCTATAACCCCAGTTAACTTGGGAGGCTGAGGCAGTAGGATTGCAAGTTGGAGGTCAGCCTGGATAATTTAGCAAGACTCTGTCTCAGAAGATAAAAGGGACTGGGGATTAGCTCAGTGGTAAAGTGCCCCTGGGTTCAACCCCAGTACTACACACGCACACACACACACACACACACACACACCCCTAGTACTTTATAGGTTCTCCATATTATGATATAAAAGAATGAGCAGATTCTACCAATCTCCTCAAAATCCTGCCCTGCCTTCATAGGCAGCAAGAGAATTACTTTTAAATGTAACTAACAAGTAACCCCTTTAAGAGGGAATCCGCAATCTCATTTTGAAAAGGCAAAGTTCTAGCTGATAACACACCAGGATCAGGTAGGAATGGAGTCCTGTTATCCAGCACAATGGCTTGGGTAACAGACTTAGATTAAACCATCTGTCACGTTAATCCTGGGTGCAAATCCTAAAAGGTCATGCTACTCCTTGATAATTCTAAATTCTTGATTCCCATGCTCCTTTTTTTTGTTTGTTTGTTTTCAAAACCAAATTCCATTTATCTTTTTCTTGCTCGGATTCCAAGCCAACATTTGAAAGAAAGAACTCAACCTCCAGACTTCAGGGAGCGCTGCTATTTGCTGGACTTGAGGCGCCCTCTGCAGGCTAAAGGAATCTCAGTCTCTGCCATCAGAAACGGCTCCAGGTATGTAACCAGGAGGCAGCTCCCTGAAAGCTGCATTTGCCTCTGGGGCTGCAGGTTTCCTCAGGGTGGAGGAGCATATTCATAGAGATGCTTCTGAGGAGAGAGCCCGGGAGAGGATCGGATGCCTGGACAGAAGTGGCCCGAGGTGCCTCAGGGAGGCGACAGCTCAGTCTTTGGGACTTGTTAGTCAATATCCATTAAGCATGTGGTGAGTCAGACATAGGAATTCAATCCCTCCTAGAAGTTTTTTTAAGGGCCTACTATGTGCCTGGGCACTGAAATTCAGAAAGGGAAAAGCAAGCCAAAAGAACAAATCCCCTGCCTTCGTGAAGAGGGCGTTCTAGTGAGGAAAGATGGTCTGCCAGATGAGTAAGGAAAACAGGAAGCAGGCTAGACAGTGTGAAGGCTGAAGGGGAAAGACAAGCGGGAAGCAGACCCCGGCTGGCTGTGAGGTTTCCCAGGTGGGCCTAGACGGCCAGCGGTAAGATTTTAGGAAAGCCTGGCTGAGAAGGTGGCTTTGGAATAAAAGCCAGGAGGAAGGGAAGGAGCAAGGCTTCCCTTCTCTGGAGCATGGGGAAAAGGGAATGGCTGCCCAAAGCCTTGAGGCTGAAGACTTGGAAGCTGCCGTCAGAGGCAGGAGAGAGAAGGGGAAGGGAGGAAGTGTGTGGGGGAGGGGGAGGGGAGGGGAGGTTACCAAGAGTCAGAAGCAGAAGGCCCCGTAGGCATCAGAAGGGGGAGAATGGTCTCAGAGTCCTGCCCCACTTCCAGCATGCCCTCCGCAGTGGCTTAAACAGGATCCCCTCCGCCCTGAGCTCTGGATAACCACATGGGCTTGTGGGATTTGGATGGAGCCAGGCCAGCTGCCAGGGATGAATGGTTGCCCAGTGAGCACTGCGGTCCCTGTCGGCCCCTGCACGTGTCCCTGCATATCACATTTTCTCAGAGGCTCAAGGGCTTCTGAAATAGAAGGCCTGAGGCAAATTGTGAAATTGGATTAGCTTGTTCTCCACACCTGTCTTCGATTCATGCCGTGCCCAGGCTCCCTGCGGCTTCCCCTGCCAGACTGACTGGGGATGCTATTCATAGAGATGTCAGCCACTGTCACAGTTCCTCCAGCGTGTTGCCACTAGCATATTGATGGACAGGACAGCCTGACCTAGAGGGGGAGATTAGAGATGGAATGCTGGGGCTTCTATTTATTAGTGACAGAATCTTCATCAGACGCTTCAACTCTGAACCTCACCCACCAGATGACCCCTCTCACAGAGCTTGAAAAGAACTCAGTCGAAAAAGGGACCTGAGCACCATTTGTAATCATAGACTCCACATGGCTTTGCCCCAGCACTTTCTAGTTTATACATCAATTTCAGGTTCCAGTGACTGGCAAAATATTTGGGTAAAATTAGAGCTAAGGTCTTGATTACCTTGAAAACATAGAGTTAATTCCTTAAGCCTCACAGGATCTCAGCTTCCTTCTGTTTAAATTGGGGAAATAATATTTGAAGATCTTCCTTATTTCATTGACTTGACTGTAATAAGTGAAAATTTTAAACTATGGAACATAGAATTGGTAAGAAAATAAGTTTAATTTGATATTTAGTCTTACACCTCTTACTGTAGCTCACATAATTTCGAACTCTCCATTTTCAAGAACTGGGCATATAACTCAAATGCAGAATCCTATTGTCACTTGAGAAAGAGATAGCTAGGTCTCTCATCCTCTCACAGAGATGGGTGTTGGGAACCTGGGGCAGCTGCAGGAGCTGGTGACAGGGTAACAGAACATCTGCCTACTTACGTCCCCCTTGGCAGGGCCCAGGCTGGTCTCATTTTGCTCCTCTTAGCTACACAGGCCCGATGCTCACTGCATTCTGCATCTTATATTCTGGGTATATCCTGCGTAGCTTGAACAGTCTCCCCATCCCTGCTCTATCTCAGTGCTAGTCTGCCTTTTATAACTGTGACCAAAATATCCAAGAAAAACAACTTAGAGGAGGAAAAGTTTATTTTGAGCTCATGATTTCAGAGTTTTCAGTACATGGAATTCTGACCCAATTCCTCTGGGTCCCAAGATGAGGCAGAGCATCATGGGGGAATGTGTGGCAGGAAGCACTGTTCTGTCTATCACTGGCAGCCAGGAAGTGGGGTGGGGGGGAGCCACTGGGAAGATGCACCATTTAGGGGCACATGCCCAGTGACACACCTCCTCCAGCCACAGCCCATCTGCCCAGTTACCATTCAGTCAGTTCTTTCAACTGGGACGGCCTGACTACATTACAGCGCCCACACTCTAATCACTTGCCCTCTAAATACTTTTGCATTAACACGGGAGCTTTGGGGCACACCTCATGGTTAAACCTTACACTCCCTCTGTCTGACTGTCCAAGTCAGGTCATTACCACATGGAAGCTCTGTCTTTAGCTCAGTTGTGCTCTCTGGTCAGCTGAGCTGAGTCGGTGGGGCTGAGGTGAAGGTAGACATGTGTGGACAGCATGTCAAATGGACTTCAGTTCTGCCTGGCACCTCCTTTCCCTGTGGGGCTCTGTCATAGATGGTTTCCCCTGGAAATGGACAGTGGAATGACATCATTATGTGTGGTATTTCAGAAGAGCAGGGAACATTGGCTGGGCTCCCATTCCCACCACTTGATGCTCTAGCCATCAAGACACACTTCCCAGGGACCAGGGCACCTGCTTCTAGATGCACTTGGAGTGAGCAGCTCTGTAGGGTAGAGTCTGAGTATTGGCTGTGAAGGAGAAGGTCTGAGTCTTCAGTTTCTGAAGGGCATATGCTATTCCCTAACCAGGTCTCCTGGGGTCCAGCTAGTAGTTTTCTATTATCCTGGCAGCCACCTCGGATACCTCAGGCAGCTGAGGTAATACTCAAGAAATAATACCCCTGCTCCATGTGCCTTCTGACCAAAGGCACAAATAACTCCTTCACCCCTGACTGCATTCCAAAGAGTGGCTACTGTGCATTTACATACACACAAATTTCCAGAAAAAGAAAGTTAAAGGATCTTTTTTTATTATTATTATTATTGTTATTTATCATTTATACACATCACAGTTTACACAAAAGCCAACCAAGAAGCAACTGTAGAAAAATAGTAGACCTATATCAGCACTAATGACTTTGTTATTATTAGGATGGTTGTTTCACAGACAATTTGCAAGAGTGTGCAGGAAACTGCAATTATTGTACACAGATATTGTCACCAGAATAAATGTGCATTAGGATTCACAGTGGCATCAAGCTATACATTCATGTTTTGTTTCTGAGGAAAGGACCATGAAAAAAAAAGACTCTGCCTCTCTTTACCATCTATAATGTAGGAGGTCACATTTTAAATACAAAAAAAAAATAAATAAATAAATAAAAAATAAAAAAATTCCAGAGCCCTGCCCTATGCCATCAATAAACATAAGTTACACAGTGGTTTCCTTGGCCAAATCTAAGCCTGGAAATGCTGGTGGACACCATCAGATACTTTTATTTATTTGGTCATCTATTTTTTTGTATTAATTTGAAAAGAAAGGCAAGCTTATTCACAGGCCATTCATAGACTCTGTATGACAGACAGGCAATGTGCTGCCCGGGGGAGGGGCTTCTTGGCAGGCTAAGTTGGGCCATGTATCTTTCACCTCCTCACCTTTACAGATCTAAGACCTTGACACTAATCCTGGGATGACAGCTGCAAGAAGCATCAAAATCCTACCAGAGTGGCATGGTCGACATGAGCCACTCACCTGGGCTAGTTTTCTGTGTGGCAACCCACGTGGGACATCAAAAGCCCAGTAACAGGGTGTGGGGGGCTGCTTTGCTTTAAAGTCACAGAATGATATTACTGTCAATGCTCCCACCTGCTCTCGTGCCTCATCCTGTCTGGGACATTCTTTCCTACCACTAGACTAACTGCCAGGGTCACATCTGATGGACTTCTGTGGTCACCAATACTTAGCACAGAGTCAAGCAGAGAGTGAACAAATACTGTTTACAAAAGAGATGTGTTCAAGGATGGGTTATGGGAAAATCATGAATGAAGCAAAAATACCCTTTCATGAAGACAAAGGCATCCACTAAACGAAGAACCTTGGTTCTTCTTATTAAACTCCCTCAGGACCTGAAGGATGGACAAGGTATTTTGCCATATGTGGTATGTTTGTCCCTGGGCTAAAGAACATTTTCAGGATGTCTTTGCAGTTTGATGCAATATGAAAGAATGGAGTGACATTTATAGATTTCAGCTTCAAACACCTTAAATCAGACATAATACTCTTCCTAGCTATAGGTCAAGCTGTGGCCTTTCCTCAGCTCTCCACCTAACAATGCCTTACAATACACCTGAGCAGGAAGGCAGTTTTATCACACAGATCTTCCAATCATACAACACCAGTTCCAAGGCTCCTGTGGTCCCAAGATGTTGAGCCTGAAACTCCAGTCAAGGTAACTTCCCTCAAGCCATTGTGCAGAATTCACTTCGAAGCCACGTAGAAAATGCCATACTTTCTTATGGAGCAACTTGCCTTAGCCACTCTCTTGGTAGAAACTATTCCTAAGCTAGCCCTCCTGGTTTTTCAAATACCAACTCTACAGCACATGCTATTCCAGAGCTCCCCCATCCTGTCTTGGCCACACCCCCTTCTGTCCACACTTTATGGGCATTTTCATTGGATGAGGGAACAGGCCCTTTCCAGAGCAAAACTCCACGGTGAAGTCTCACCTCCTAAAACCACTCTCTTCTTGCAAATTTAGAGGCTTAGAGAACAAATATGAGCCAATGTCAAACTGCATTTGCTTCAGAATCACTTGCTGTGGATAAGATGAGGGGCCAACAAAAGAAAACAGGAGCTTCAAGAAACTGACTCTTTCCAGCAAGTATCTGTTGAACACCTATTCTGTACCGTCAGGGTGCACACTGACAATGTGCTACCCGGGGAAGGGGCTTCTTGCAGAGGCTCAGAGCACCAGGTTTCCAGGGATGAATTAGAGACAGATATGCCCAGTGGGAAACCTACAAGGATACAGGGGAGGATGGGATAAGGAATGAGAGAGGAGAGGGCTTGTGGGACCCTGAGAAAACTGGGCTCTAATGGCATGACATGGACTCAGGTACATCCTGAAGCAGGAATCCACAAACCAAGAACAATTTAGTGCAACTTCAAACCTGTTTTAAAGAACTTGGTTCCTGGAGAATACGATCAGTCATCCCAATGTAGAAACAGTAGAAAGAGATGGAAACTGTAGGTGGAAGCTAGGGGAAGAAAAGCATCCTGGGCTGTGGAAAGAGACTTTGGGAGGAGAAGGAGAGACAGAGAAACACGTAGATTCAGCAGGGCAGCCAGTTGCCTGGTTACTCTGTGGACCATGCTTCATAAAGCCACTTTGTCACTGAGGAACTTTTTCTGGTGTTCCTTTATTTTCAAGTTGGTTCCTCATATAGTACTAGGTTGTAATAGAATTTCTTAAAGCTTCATAGCCTTGAACTCTGGCTTCAATTTAAGCAAGATGCATGACTTGTATGATTAAGTGACTTGTCTGCATTAGAGGAAATGCAGCAGAGGCTCAGGGTGCGAGCTTTTCTCTTCCACGCTGAGCGGTGTGACCGTAGGCAAGCCACTTTGCTCCTCTCTGGTGCATTTGTGTGGTGTGTATGGGATTTAAGGATTAGTTCAATCATGTATGCAAAACCCAGCAAACAGAAATTGACCTTTGCGTATTAATTCCATTCCTTGACCATGAGATAAACATGAGTCCACATTTAGTTTTTCTTTCAATGTCTCTGAGTGTGATCAGTCCTGAAATTTGGGGTTTGAGTACTTTGGCTTAAAACCACATAATGGGTCATGAAAGAAAGACAAAATATAGGGTAATAACCAGTTTGGTGATGGGCAAAGCACTATCCAGCAACACGCATACATTTACATCTGTCTAGAGGCTAGGTCTCTGCATCCAGGGCATTTAATTATGTGACTGAAATTGCTGGGACTGTTTTCCCCAACACTACAGTTGGTTTATAAATTTTGGCACCTGGAACTGTTCCACAGCAGTCTATTGTTCCTGTTCACCATGGAAGAGGCCCTGGGGGTGGGGCTTGGCTTTTCTTCTCTGGATTGCCCACAGTTTTCTTTGGTTACACCACCAATATTGTGCCTAGTGCCCTAGTGCTGGGAAAAATGTTTAAGGGGGAAAAAAAGTAAAGAAAGTAGATAGAATATAGAAAAAAGTTTGTTTTGTTTTGTTTTTCTTCTTAAAGAATGAGGGCCAGGTGTGGAGGTGCACACCCATAATCTCAATGGCTTGGGAGGCTGAGGCAGGAGGATTGCAAGCTCAAAGCCAACCTCAGTAACTTAGTGAGACACTGCCTCAAAATAAAAAAGGACTGGGGATGTGGCTTAGTGGTTAAGCACCCTTGGGATCAATCCCCAGGACTGAAAAAAAAGATAGAGAGAGAAATGAGGAAGGGAAGCAACATGGGAAGGCATCTGAAAGGTTTTGAAAACTCTTCTTTAAGTTCTTTATATCTGTGAAGAAGCACGTACATGCCCTAGTGTCCTTAATGTCACTGCAATGACTCATACTTTGTACACAGATGAGACCTGATTGGTGAGATGGAAGAAAAGCTTAAAGTCCAGGCTGCTAAACACCAGGTAGAATCAGAATTCAACAATTAATTTCCCCTTTTCTGTTTCTGAGATCCTGTGATTTCACATGAAACATTAATGGTTAAAAATAAAACACAAAATGTTTACCATCCTCCCAGATCCTTTTAGTAGATTATGTTTTATGTTAATATCTCCATAGCCTAGCCCAGTACCCAGCGCAAAATAGATGCTCAATAAAACAAGTAAAGAGTAACTGAGTGAACAGCAGCAACAACAAAAAGATTGATCTACATATTAGCAAATGCTGTTGAACTGCCATTTGGAGAACAACGTCATCCTTCCTAAGGATACAGGGATGGATGACTTGCAAAGACAACAGGAGAAAGCATCACCCTACTTCTGTGTCTTCTTTGTCCTGGTCTCTCCTTTTTTACACCATCTGAACAAATGTACCCAGCATCCCTGATTGTGGAAAATTCTCAGAAATCAACACTAAAAATGAACCAAACAGTGTGACTAAAATTCAAAGTGGCTACTGGTGGCAGGAAAGGCCAATGTACAAATGCAAACTTTAACCTAACAGCTTCCTGTTTAGAGAGAGATGCCACCAGCCTCCAACAGTGAGCGCTGGCGACACACTTCCCTTGGGTCCTGGTACTTTCAGATGGTTTTCTTCTCTAAGGAAAATCCTGAGTTGCCTGCTATTATTTCTAGTTGATTCTTTGCCATCCAGGTGCTATGTGGAAGATTCCCCCTGGGCTCCTCAGAGGGCTCCTTCTGGATCTGGCTTTTGCTGCTGCCACTGCTCCTGGGATCCCATGTTACGACCTCCAACCCCTCACACACACACTCCATCAGGACAGGATGGACGATCGTTTTCTTTGTTTTATGACCAACATCTGGCTCATGGCAGGCCATCAGGAAATATTTTTGCCCTGATGAAGGACAGTGGATCTGACTATATTACCCGAGTCTTATGAGGCTGCAGATTGCTCACATATAAACTAAGGATTAAAGAAGCTTTCTTATTTTTTTTTGCATAAATTGTTGGATCCAAGAGTATTTAATGTGGTCCCTTCAAATATCAATATAGGAATTTTACTTGATTCCTTCCAATTATTAAAAGAAAAATATAAATCACTTTATCCAAACCATGTGCCCGTCTTCTTGGCCTATTTATCTGATTCCATTTTCTGCAGTGTTCCTCCAGCAGACAGCTCAATGATGCTCTTCAAAGGGAAGTTCAGAATTGATGCAGCCTGGGCTTCTCATAGGACAGGAGGAGTCAGGTCCCCAGAGCCAGCCCAGAGGATTGGCCCAGTGATAGGCAGGAATCACCCACTCCTAGCAATCTCAGTCCCAAGTGGAAAAGTTCCCACTCATGTCAGCAATGGAGACTTCCTCTTGACCTAAGAAAATCTTGCAGGGGTCTGACATCTTGCACTTCTTCCATCAGAGGTGTTCTGTGTCCGCTGTTCAGATGGCTTGCTCTTTGTCTCTGTCTCTGTCTCCTTCTCTCTCTCTCACTTGAAGTCCTTTGCTTATTCTCTCCCCTCTTTCCAAGAGATTCCCTACAATCCATCCTAACTGGGCCCCCTCCTGTGCAGACTCCATGTCTTGCTTCCATGTCAAATCTCCCACGAGGCCTTTCCTGCCACCAGTAGCCTGCATTTCTGGTGCAAGCAAGACCTTCTCCCATGGCCACTCATAATGACCCCCACATAATTCCCATTTGATTGGCTGTGCTCCTGCTAGACCATGAGCTAGTGCACCAACCAACACATCCCTAGCTAGAGCAGGCCCTCAGTGCAGATCTGGGAATGAATGGATGTGCTAATGGCAGAATGTGTAATGGTAGCTGGCAGTGTAGGGCCCATAGTCTAGCCTTTCAGGCTGCCTGCTGGGCCTTCCGCAGCAAGGAAGACTGGATTTCTGGGCCCGCAGCATCTGTCCAAGTCTCCAACAGAAGCTTGGGATATATCCCATCCTGGACGACGTTACCTGAGAGCAGGGCTCTGTGTTTTACCTCTGTGCTCCCATCTGGAACAGGCTGAAATTCCTCAATCTTGTGAATTCTAGGCATACACTAACAAGAGGCTTTTCTCTCTCCACCTCCCCACAGGTTCAAAGCACCCTACCTGCTTCCAACCTGCCACCAAGGTTTGCATTCTGCTCCAACATGACCTCAGGCTCATACCTGCTTCTCTGTGTTTATTTGGCTCATGAACAAGAAATTCTGAATAATCTCATTATCAGTGAATTTTATTTCTAACTAGTTTGGGGAAACTTAACAAATCATACAAACAACCAAAAATATTATGCTGAGAATGAAGACATACTAGACCATTATGTTGGCAGGCGTTTTGTTTATAATTTTTATAATCAATAATAGAATGTCCCTGCTTTACATTATACATATGTATATATATATATTTATTATGCATATATATTAGGTATCTATACTTCAATAGAAAGAGACATAAAAAAGCCTTTTCAAATGAGGCACAACACACAACACTCGACATTCTTATTTACAATATAGAGATGTACTTTCTACACAAGTATAAGATGCACAGAGGCCAGAGGGGGTTTACAAAGACAGCAGGACACCTCTATAAAAAAGAGGTGCCCCATGCAGCTGGACGCTTATTGCCATTAGTTCTCACGGTGTCCAGACAGCATGTGGAAGTTAAAAATGGCATCTGGCTATTGGAAAAGACAATGGTCATCAGATTCATCCTGGCTCCAATAACTGCTGGCTACACAGTCTTTCGAGTGACCAGGGAATGACAGAAACAGGACATGAAATGCACTCCTCCAAGGAGCCAGACTCCTCATATGGCCAGAGAGAAGGTGCTACAAACCTCCAATCTGTGCTGAGCACGAGCACTTGTCTGGGTCAGGAGACACCCTGTCATGGGCTGCATGACCAGGAAATGCTTGTCTCCTGGGTTTTAGAACAAAAGCATGGTTGCTCGTGAGCAGCCAGAGTCTATGCCAGCACCAGCACGGGAACTCAGGAAAATCCCCAGGGGGTTAACAAACACAAGTTTCACAGGATATAATGAAAATTCATAAAGATCCTAAGTTTGCTGTGTGGAATTCTGTCTTTGCAAAACATTTGACCCTGTCTGGCCCACCACTTCTGTTTTTAAGAAATGCAGAATGCCTCTCTCCTGCAAGTTGCCTTTCTGAACTCTTTTCCCAGGGTCTGCATTTGGTTTAACTTGGGAGGATCTACAATGCCTACACGAAACCAGGTCCACTTGGCATCTCTGACCTGGAGCCACATTCCAGGTGCTTGGACCAGAGGAGTCTCTGCATTGTGCAGAACTACGAGCTTTCGTCTCCTGAGGTGGTCTCCGTGTCTCCTGTCTCTACTCTCCTGGCTCATGCGTTCCTTCTACATGACTGAATGATTCATGGACCTTGCCTTAGCCCATAGGGTGCACTCAGTCTTTGGGACCATATTAACCCTCCTGGTTATTTTCAAAAGTTCCCTGTAAGTCACTTACCAATGACAGTTTAAGTGGAGTCTTCAGTCTGGCTTTTGTTCTCCAGCCTGACCTTACTTTGGCCCCTGTCATTTATCAGTGTTGACCTTCCTAGCCCTTTATTTTCCTAAGGCAAGAAGTCACTTCAACTGAAAGTTATCCAGCACCCTTCCGAGAGCTCCCCTGAGGTTTTTATCCAGCACTCCTCCATTTGGACGTCTTTCTCCTTCAGGGAGAAGAGAAACAGCCGGCCATGTTAATGGTCTTATTTTTTTTGCAACTGTATCCAGTGCTGACTCAGCATTTCTTTGGAAGTGTTTCAGCGGGAGCTTCGCAGGCATGCATCTAGCTCAAGTGCCCCCTCCTGCAGCTAGAATCTCGCTCAGTTTTCCCTCCCCCTAGAGATTGAAGCAATCACAAAAATAAATTTTGGATCAGGCTATGCATAGAGAGTTCGAGGAAGTAGGTGGAGTAACTTTCCTATGGTTATTTTTGTTTGTAACAAACTTGTATTTACTAAGAGCATCACCTCTGCTCCTTCTTACATTGTCACTCCACCTACTGCTGTCACAGAACATAATGGGGTTGTGCCACACATTCCTTTGCCCCTTGTTTGGAGAACATGAAGAAAGAACAAGAGTGCGGGTATCACATTTTGTTTAAATAAGTGGCACATTGGAATCTAGTAAGGGTTCTATTTACACAAATATGTTGCACTTCTGCACAGAGGTTAACCTGAGTTCTGAAATGCTTGTGTGCACTTAATTTAATCAAAATGATAAAGCTATGAGCTAGTAACATGTTGGACAGTTCAACTGGAGCAACCTGTCTGCGAGCCGTGAGGGTGAAGAAGGGGGGCTCTCTCCTACTCCAAGCGTTTTTTCTTTATTTTCCCCTATTTTTCCTAGAAAGCATCTTAAAAGAGACTCCATGTGGCTAGACAAATTCAAGCAAAGATTGTTGTCTTTTACACTCTGTGTTCCCAGATCTCTAAACAGAAGCACCACTAGGGTTCAGTTCTACCCAGCCCCATCCCCACGCCTCTCCTGCTACTCCATCCTGGCATGGCAGAGGGGGCATGTGCCCCAGCAAAAGCACTCAGTTCACCTTAACACTTCTGGAGGGCTACCCCAGGCCTGCTCCCTCACAGCCACTACTTGAAATAGTTGAGTCCTGCCACCAAGAAAAACTTCTCTAGGAAAAGTTCCGAATCCAGCACCGCGATGTGAGCGGCTCGGCCGATCAGGGTGTTGGCAGTGTTGGGCAGGGCGTGGAACACGTTGTGCCTGATTAAAGTGCAGTCCTTGGCTTCAATCAGAGGGCCCAAAAGGTTGTTGATCATTTCCGCATAAACTGGCCCTGGAAGAAGGAAAGAAACAGATGAAGCCGGTGGAGAAGTTGGCAGTGGAATCTACAGGGCACTGACTGTGTGCGCCTGGGTCAGGATCTTATTGCTGCTCTAAAAGTTTGTGAAATAAATATGAAATAATAGCAAAGGATGAGAAGAGAGCTCCAGGCAGTGCTCTGTGGGCCCGTGAACCAAAATCAGCAGAAGTGGGAGGGGTTTTCAGTGGATGGCTGTCCTCTCTACAGGGACAGGAAAGGAGCTACACCAAGGAGGACCCTCAGAGACTCAAACTCCATTCCTGGAGACCCAGCAAAGGGAGACACATCCCAACAGAGGCTGGAAGCAGGTCACACCTCATACAAGCCATCTGGCATTGCGCCGTCTATCCTGATGCTGAGGGCCTGGGAGAAGAGGGCGATGCAGGGGCTCCGGATGGTTGGTGGTTGGGGCTTGTCTTATCTTGATAATTGGAAGTCAGAATCATCTGTGTTTGTGTCTAAAACGTCACTCAGTGGCAGCTTTGCATCAGTCGGTGCGACCCACAGTGCTATCCAGTGATGATGACCATTGAGCACATTTGCACACCTGTCCACAACGCACACCTAGCCCTGTTCTCCTGACTGCGATGCTGTTCATGACCACTTTTATATGATGCAATGCACCCTTTGGGGTAATCCCGAGTGCTAAGATGCCTTAATTTTGACACACAAAAGAGGCAATGCCCAGAGGCTTAGACATGGCCTCCAGGTCTAGTGTGGCACCTCAGGGTGTGCACTGAGAGGGACCATCTTACACTGAGTCTAACAGCCACCAGCCCCACTCCAGAAACTCCCCTGACCCTGTCCTCCATCTCTCCCCCATGTGAAAGTTCAGACTATTTTCAGCAAGGGACACCATTTGGAGTTCTGCTTTCTCAGTCTGGGAAGGGCAGTGGACCCTTCACACATAAAAAAAACATTGTTTATTTCCTCCTCCCATCACCTTCTTTGGATTTTTGGAGGAACTTCAAAGTAGGAGATGTTGAAATGTAAATTAAAAATAACTAGGGATTTCGTTGTGAAATCTCTGTCCTCATCTTATCTTGACCTGAAAAATATTAGGGGTTAAAATAAAGGGTATAATCCTTTGCAAGATGCCATTACTGTTTTAGAACAGTAGGCATTACGGTAGTTAATGAAAGGCTGTCAAAGTACCATGTCATATACTTTAGTGAGTAAAGTGTTCCTTTCAGAGAGAAAGTGGAAGTCAATCAAAACTTATCATGAAGGAATGTTTAAGAAAACCACACTTCACTGGCCAGCTAAATAATTCTGTGCCCTTTAAAATGATGTCTATGAATACCAGGGAGTAACAAAAAGAATCCATGCAGGTTTTGATAGATGAAAATGAAAGTGCATTATCATTACATCAATATCGTAATTTGATTAAACTGTACAAGCAGTGAAGGCCTGAGGTCGATTTAAAAAACAGAAAAAAAGTCACTCAAAATGTAGTGGTTATCAACCAGATAATTTTCTGCTCAGATAGTAACACCTGAGGAATTCCTTGGGAACTTTTGAAACATACACAGCAGGCCATTCATGACTCTTTCTCCAGGGAAGCACTGGACTGACTTCTGGGAGAGGTGTGAATCGTCTATACGGCAGTTTAGCCGATGAGTTGAGTGGTGACACAAAGATACTGCCAAAGCTGGGAAGCATTTTATTTCAGAACTTTTGAAAAATAGAAATAGTTGTACTTCAAAAAAAGCAACGACATCAACAACCGAACATGAATTAAATTCTACATAAAATTGTGTGCTAATTTTTAATTTGCCAATTAAGCTTCATTTATTTGATGCTTACTTAAAAGCATAACAGAAAATGTGAACTTAGGTAGAGTGTTTAAGACGTCTATTAGCATCCTTTGAGAATACGGAATTCTGTCAACCTCAATGAACTACTTCCAAGTGGAGCGTAGAGACGTCAAGGTTCGTCTTAGTCGTGGTACCTTTGTGCCAGCTACAGAACTCCCTGCTCTCACCCTCCGGAGACCTCAGCCTTCTCATCTGTAAATCTGGAGCGAGGATACCCTCAGCAAAGGCCATTGTGAAGACTGCATGAGCTGAACCATGGACAGGGGTGTGCAGCATATGGTGACCAAGGGTGCAGCTTGCTACTCAAGCCAGGGTGGACATTCCCAGTGCACCTAAGGCCTCCCAGGCACACCATGTCATGACCACTCAGCTTAACTCTGTAGCAAGAAGGCAGCCATGCACAGCTCATAAATGAACGGTGTGGCTGTTCCAACAAACTGTATTTACAAACTGGGAACCGGGTCAGGTTTGGCACAGTGTGAGGACTTGGGGAGCCCTCCTCAAGGCTTTACCAGGTTTCAGGTGTCCCCAGAGCTGCTTCTCTATGGTAGGGAGCTCTGAAAGTAGGCAGGAAAACTTAGCAAGTGCCCTCATGAGAACAAGTCCAGAGATTTCTGCCCATGACTGTGTTTGATCAAGTCTGCACTGGGAATAGGACACAGGCAGTGAGTACAAGGGTGTCCCGTGGGCAATTAGAAAAAATAAGAAAGGAAAAAATATGTGCGAGAAAAGTAGCAATACCTGAAAGTTTAGATTGAAAAATTATTATCAAATACCTTTAATACTTAATCGCAGAGGTAGGAGAGTGAGATAGATAGTAACAGACACTGAATGTACAACTTTGAAGACAACTTGGCAGACATCTTAAAGAGATTTAGCTCGTTAATGTCTTTCCCTCAATGACACCAGGACTGGGAGTCCACCCTAATGCCATATTTAGATGTGTAACAAACACACACAGAGGCTTTTGCCACACTGCACTTTCTAATAAATTTTTTAATTCTTCTGGAACCTATATGACCAACCTATATGTCCAAAGATGAGGAAATTGTTAATTATAATATATTCATAGATAAAGCCAATTATGAAAATGTGCTTATATGTGTGGTATTGTTAATACAGAAAAATGAAGAGGACATCACGTTAAACTGAGTCATGATGCAAAATTTTGACTTTTAATATGACAAACATACAAAATGAGACTTTCAGAAATACATGAAATGTGAGTAGTGGCATAGGTACCATTAGATATGATCCTGATTTGTTGAAATAGATTCCATTTCTCCAAATGTTCTATAAATGAACATTTTTCAAAAAGACAGCATCATTTGGTGATGTGCCTCAAGTTACATTCAGGTGCATATGTCACACATGAAAAAAACAATGTTATTTTGCACGTCAAATTGCATTTCAAATATTTGTCATCAAAATTCCTGTTGGTTTTCCTAGGTCCCAGTAGAAATGTTCACTGATTGATTTACAGTTAGTGCCAAATCTTGGGACCTTTGGCAGACAATTTTTTTTAAATGTCATACAATAAGACAAAAATATCACTTACTTGAAAATAAAAACAATCCAAATGTCTGACATAGAATAAACCATATCGAAGGAAACCAGAAAGCCAGCCCACCCCCTCTCCTGGTGGCCTGCAAGGCCTTTCCTTTAACATCCAGCCCAAGGGCCACCTCCATGGGTCCTCCCTGATTCTGCCCCACACCCAAGTCTACTCTGTACCAGTATTCTGTTCCAGGATAAGCCAGAGCCCTGCTGTCCCTGATAAGAATAGTCAACTTTATGAATTTATTTTTGCTTTTTAAATCAGAAAACCCTTAAAAGAATTCAAGGATGCTTACCTGTGTGTCTGTCTTTGAGGGCGGTTTTGCACATCTCAATCCTGGCTGAATGAAATGGCACATAGCGGTCTTGGGGGGAAGCAACCAGCACAACGTTTTTAAAATACTGCAGCCCTGTAACAAGGATCTGGGTGAGTGCCTGACCCAGGTAGCTTCCACTTACCCTCCGTTTGCACATATTGTACAGACTTCTCCAGAGGGGACAGATGAGGAGATACAAGGCCCTGGGGTCATTGCATGAGAGCCTTTTTTCTGAGGCTGAACCGTGCACAGCCCAGGGCAGAGGCCTCGTAGAACCCTACAGGAAGTTGAGAATGCACTGGGGCTTTTGCCCTTGGAGGGAAGGTATCTTAGCCACAGAAACTTAGGAGACATATATCAAGCAACAGTAAGAAAAAAGAAGCATGTATGTGATAAGAAAGAAGGAAAGAAAGAAAGAAAGAGAGAGAGAGAGAGAGAGAGAGAGAGAGAGAGAGAGAAAGAAAGAGCGAGCCTCTGTAGGGCAGGAGTACTAAGGATTTTGTGAGAACGTCTGAGTTTTCTGCTTCTCCTCCTCTCCATCCACAGCAGCCCTGTGATTTCAGCTCATTATGTCACTTGCTTTAGGGAAATAATTGGCCAACTAAGCCCTCTCCTCCAGCCTGCTCTGCTGATCTGTCACGTGGAGACCTAGAGGTCACCACAGCACATCCTGCAGTTCCCAGAGCCTATCCCGGGGTCCAGGGAGTGTGTGCACAGCCCAGGTCCTGGTCAGCACAGGGCCCTTCTCACCCCAGCTGCTGCTGTGCAGGAGGATGTTGATGGCTCTCAGTATCCCTCCACGAGTGGGTTGCTGAATCACACCTCAGGAGCACACACTGGGCGTGGCCTCCATCAATGGCTGGAAGATTGGAGGCAGGGAGGATTTGGCTGACCCCTCACCTAACTTCAGGACAGCTCTGTGGGGTCACCTCAGCTCTCCATGGTTGGGACAAGCTGAAACCTCGTGGTGACCACACACAGTCCCACTTCTCCTCTGGCCAGTCCTGTCTCCCCCACAGGGATAACAACATTCAGCTTGAAGCACTGAGGAAGGAAGGAGGAAAGAAACTTGCCCCGGCTACACATCAGCCTGGGCCTTCTGGATTCACATTCCTGGAGGCGCAGCAGTCCCCACAGGGGTACACAGAGGGTGGAGGACAGGGTACCTGGAGCTGACCCTGGGCAAGGTCAGCTAGCAGGCCCTCATGGGGCAGGCTGACCATCAGTGGCTCCACTCCTTACTGGACACACAGCCACCATCAACCCTGTCCTCTGTGGTCATTCCCATGTGCTGGCAGAGTTTCAATGCCTTTCTGCTTCCTGTGACACAGTGGGTGGAGGTGTAACGTCAGGCCTGTGTGACAGTCCTCTCCTAGGACTCAGTCACCACGCATGCGCGGTGTCCTGTCTGCTCTTTTTGTAGGTTGATCTGTACCTGAGTGTGGCTGGCACACAGACCCTGGACCTGTGCACTTACAATACTCAAGGGCTGATGGGAAACAGAAGCTGGAACTTCTGTGTGTTGCAGTGACCCTGCACACTCTGTGGCTCTCCTCTCTCATGTGCCACATGGGGAGGGGAGGGGCAAGGGAAGTTGAGCTCCTGGTAACTATGGCTTCCAGGGTAAAGAGGCTTAGCTCCCTGGATCTCCTCACCATATCCAATTTGGGCCAGCCCCAGTGCATTCTCAGCCTTCTGTAGGGTCCTACCAGGCCTCTGCCTGGGGCTGTGCATGGTTTAGCCTCAGAACAGAGGCTCTCATGCAATGACACAGCATCAAAGCTAATGTGTATCTCAGGAGGAGGATCCGCAGCTGCTGAGGGAAACACCCACCTGTTTTTTGGCTTAGTTGGTACAGGAAGCATTTGCGTAAATCAGCATTATCCCTGAAGGTCAGCTGCAGAAGTGACCCGGATTTCTTTAATTTCTGCATGAGCCACAAGCCTAGAAGACAAAAACAAAAGAAAACAAAATGTAAGACCAAACAAAGCAGAAAAAAAAAAAAAACAGTTAACTTAAGAGAAGAAAGCAATAGGCATTTTAGCCAAGAGTTGGGAAGTTACAGAGGCAAATTTGTCTTCTTATAAACTGGAAGCCATAAAATCATCCTGCAAAACAATATGGCAATGGGCTTCTAGAGTCACGGAGCTGTCAAAGAACTCTTTCAACCTCCTTCTGAAAAGGAAGCCAAAGAAAGAGTCCCAACATGCAAAGTACATAGAATGTTCCTTACAAGCTGTTTAGATTCTTGGAAAACTATAAGAAACATTCCATTTCAGAGCCCATCCATTCGGCTCTGCTTAGGCACACACTAACACTGATGAGGGTCAGCGCTGTCACCACAGCAAACACACAAACTGACAACAACCCAAGGAAATGAGTAATTCACGAAGTGCCTCTGTATCTCAACAGCCACTACAGGACTTGCCTGGGGACGAAGTAGTACAGACTGCAGGAGACCACTCTAGACTCCCTGGTGTGGGGCGATTATTGGAAGCTGGTTTCCCAGATTTGCAAAGAAAAGCCAGAGTGGCAGAGGAAAGGACTTTGTGGTATGTATCAAAGTGTCGAATAGCTCATGCTCATAGGTAGGGTCCTCAAAGCAGCTTCAAAGCAAAAGTTCCAAGAGGAAAACATTGGAGTATATGGACAGCACAGGCCAGTGTGGCAGTGGGCAGCAGATTGGCAGGGAGGGAGGCCATTAGAGGTGTCCCTAATGCCACTTAATGGGTTTAGATAATCAGGAAGTATGAAGTGTTTATCAGGAATATGGTTTAATACATTATTTATCATTATATAAGACTCAGTGACTTCCATATACCAAACCATGCTGTTTCCTCAGTTAAAACCCCCATTATTTTCTGATATTTGGATGCTAATTGACAATAAGTGGTGGAGGGGGACCTAACGGATGAATAGAGGTACTTTGGATTAGACAAAGGGGATGAAGAAGGGAAGGGAAATAGGAATAAGAACAATTGTAGGATGAATCAGACATCACTATCCTACATGCATATATGATTACAGGACCAGTGGAATTCTACATCAGGTACAACCAGAAAAATAAGAAGTTGTATTCCATATACATATAATATATCAAAATATATTCTAATATCATGCATAACTAATAAGAATAAATTCTTAAAAAAAAAAAAAAACCATTAGCACTATCCTGCCGTGTCATGCAAAGGCCTTCATCCGGGGCTCTAGCTGGGCACTCCATCTATCATCTCCCAAGGCCCACCCCAGAGAAGGCTGTATTTCTGTCACAAATGATTTCTAGCAGTTTGCTGATTCTGCCATGCTTCTATGTTGTCATGTACATGGTGTCTGCCTCCCAGAACACTCTCCCAGCCACTTCCTGCCCTGGAAGCTCTGCTCCTTCTGCAACCTCTTTCTTTCCACCTCCTCCTTAATTCTCTACGAGTCTCTGAGACACACATGCACACAGCCCCTCACACACTACAGATGCAGCCAGCCCTCTGCGCCTGTGAGCTCTGCATCTGCAGATTCAACCAACTGCAGGCTCAAAATTATTTGGAACAAAAGTGTGTCTGTAATGAACATGTGAATTTTTATTGTCTTGGTTTCCTAAACAATATAGTATAACAACTGCTTGTAGGACATCCACAGTGTATTAGGCATTAAAAGTAGTCCGGAGATCATTAAAGCATGCAGGAGGATATGCACAGGTGTTGCAAATATGCTGTCATTTTAGATAAGGAACTTGAGCATCCCTTGGCTTTTGATATCTGTTGGGGTCATGGAATCAATTTGCTACAGATACTGAGGGATGCCTATACATGCACACATATATTTTATACACATGTTTATGCATGCATGTTTCACGTACATGCATATATATATATGTGTGTGTGTGTGTATACATATACATATATATATATATATACATATTCATAAACAATAGACACATACACATAAACATACATACATGCAACCATGATCTCCATTTTACAGTAAATAATCTAAATTGCATAGGACCAAATGTCTTAGCCAGAGCCTCCACAAAATATCTGACTTGACCAGACGCTTCTCCTGGCAGTGACGTGTTCTCCACATCATGACGTCATGCCTCATCTACCTATTCCGAAAGGACCATGGGGACATGACCTTTTTGTCCACAGAAATCTGAAGGCAGACATGATTTTGGAAACCATCTAGTCTAACCCCATAGACCTGACAATCAAGGCCATGTTTCTAAGCCCCGGTCTCTTTCTTCCTCCCATGCCTGAAGAGGCCCCAAAGCTGCAAGAAGTTCTGCCTCCACTTTTATGTCCCATATTAATGTTGAGGAAAGCCTTACCTGTACTAACCAGGGTGCTGTTGTTGTACAAGGTCCCCAGGTGAGGCCCAGACAGTGACAGGAACGTGTGGAGTTTGTTGAGGTAATACCGGAACCGGGGCCGGGTGAGGACAGATCGGATGATAATGTTGCCAAGAGAATGGCCAATGAAGCTGTCGAGAGATGAAGTGTGCACGTGAGTACGTCAGCAAGGGCCAGCTGCTGGGGGGAACAGTGCCAGGAGCTCTGAGGCCTTAGTGTCCTGCCCCTCACTGGACGCAGGGAAACTGGCAAAACAACAGGACTGCCCGTTCCTCCTCAACAGGGATCCAAACTCGTGCCACATTCAGAGAGATGATCAGGGTCCTCGGGAGGGGGAGCTCTGTGCCAGTGTGGTCACAGGACAATGTGGCCCAGCTCTGTGTCATTTCAGCAGCCTCCCTGATGGCTGGCCCCCACAGTCCTGCTCAGTTCACTGAGGCCAGGGAGCCCTCTTTCTGAAACATGCAGCTGAGCATTGAACTCTCCTGGCCATTTACAGGATGAAATCCTAACCCTAAGCCTGGCCTGCGTGACCCGTCCTAGCTGGCCGCGGACTGCCTCTCCAGGTCTGCCCCCTTCCTCTTCTCCTACGCCTGCTCCCCGTGCCTGTTGTGCTTGCCACCCTCTTGCATGCTGTGCTCAAGTCCAGCACTACCACGGACCTTAGAGTCAACACATTCTTACTTGTCACGTAGATAAATACTTATTTGAAGCTCTGATATGTGAGAGTACACCATGCCACCTCACCTCACAAGAAGCACAAAACCAGCAAATATGAGCATGTTAGTTGAGGAGATGGCATTGGTCAGTTGTGACCTTCTATTCTCACCTGTCCTCAGAATACCACAGCCTCTGAATACTCATGGTGGGATAAAGAAATGATAGCTGCTCTCTGAAGACTAAATAGGGAGACACTGATGGCTTAGCCCTCTATCTAGAAATCCACATGCTCAAGTTATGGGGTGAGAATAAAATTAGCACCCATAAAGCCCTGGCATTGGGCAGGCAATGCCTTTCACTTTTCCACAGGTCTTCTCAGCCCTAGGCCAATTAGCAGAAGAGAAGGCTTGCAAAGGTTACACACCTGCTATGCGTGAGAGTCAGGATTCAAACTAGTATGTGTTAGAACAGGAAATCACACCCAGGGACTTCTGTGTTAAGTCCAATACTCTTTACACTAAGTGAACACATGTGTACTCCCCAACACAACTATGGAAGATGAGTGTGTCAATCATCCCTGTTGCTCCTTTCTAAAGATAATTAACCCCATTAAAAACCAGGTTAAGTTATCCCAGTGGTTTTCAGAAGGCATCATTCCAAACATGGAAGATGCACACTATGCAAAATAATAAAAAAAATAAGTTCCCACCCTTTCCCTTAGCATTAGCTACCTGTGGTTTCCTTTTACCTAATTCGGGATATGGAGAGGTTGTACAACTGAATGTGCTGAATGATTTCATCCAGTAATCGATCCGTCATGGTATCAAAATCTGCAAACGTGTCTGTCTGGAAGAGAGAGGAAAACAGGTGTTGGGAGAAGTCCTGGCTGAGGACTCTCCACCTAAGCATCTTCTTCTATTAAACATTGAGATGCAATCTGGGAACATGCCTAAGCTGATGTTGAGATTGGACTTTGGATAAAGGGCCCACAGATTGGTGCTGTGATGAAGAAACTTGGGATCTTCACTTAGGAGCCTGGAAGGGGAGGTGGAAAAGCTGAAGTAGTGAAGAAGTCCACTGTCACAGCACGTGCCTGGTATCTCACACATGCCCACTGGTTCACAGAGGAGGAGACAGGCTGGGAGAGGAAGGACACTCACACACCTGGAGTGATCCAGGATCCTCTTGAGGACATGCTTGACTCCAAAGCCCCCACCCTTCCCCCAACATGGCTTTAGGTAAAGCTCCAAGGCCCTGTCCAGAGGGCAGAGAGCAGCTTTGGGAAGGATCATAAAGCCATCCATGTCCTAGGAAACATGGTCCAATGACACAGGAGGATCAAAGGAAGAAGGGAAATGACACACAGGCCTTCGATCATTTGAAAGGCAGGCACTTGAAGGGGAAGAAGATGTGTTCAATTGGTTTTTCTAACTTCAATGAATAATTTTTGGAAATATGGATGGAAGCCACAGGGAAGATTGAGGGTTAATGTCTATAAACAAACAGACTAAAGTCCCTCAGAAGTGGAGCTGACCAATATCTTGGGCTCCCTGGAGCTGTATCGAGCTCCAGGCCTGAAAACATGGACAAGAGGTCTCACGAACATACACCAGGGTGTCAGAGGAGAGAGCGTATCCAGAGAAAGAGATAACGAACAGAAGGCCTTTGCGTTCCCTGTCACCTGCCCGTGAGTGAGCCTGGAGGCACGAGAGGAGGGGAGCACACTGGTGAGGTGCCATGGGATAAGAAGATGCAGGTTTGCAGCTCCTCTCCCCAGGGAATCTGGGCCTTGGACTGAACCTAAGTCTCCTAATCTCTCTCTCTCTCTTTTTTTTATATTGATTCATTAGAATTATACAGAATACTGGGATTCATTATGATGTATTCCCACATGCTTATAATGTGGTCAATCTCTTTACCCAAACCTGATCTCTTAAAGGGCTAGAATGTGGCCTATTTTTTAGCATCACTTTAAAGATTGATTAAAATATAAGTAGTAGGGCTCAGATAAGGTTATTATTATTACCCCCAGCCTTTTAGGTATTGTTTCTTCACTTGTACATTTCTGCTTTAGCATATTATTTATTTAAAAATAAGTTGGTTGTAATTATGAGATTGAAGTGGACTATGATGAGAAATGCTCTGGAAATTTCATCAGGTTTAAAAACAGAACCAACCAAGGTGTTTAAAAAGAAGTATACGGCAAACAGGCCAGCTTATATGATTTTTGTCATATAATAAACAGTGCATCTTGGAAATAATTAGTGCAAGGTGATCAACTCCTCTAGATGAGGGAGAGAGAGATCCTGTGGGCCCCCAGGCTCCTGGGGAATCCAGGTGGAGCCCAGCTATCATAGAACAGTGGACACACACTGAAGGGCAGACTTCCCTCACTCACCATATGCATCTTCCTGAGAAGAGCATCTCATTCACCTCTGAGGCCCTGGGTAACCTCTGTTAGGACCAGATCATACTTGGGCACATGTTAAAGTCATGTGTGCGCATGCATGATCTTCTGAAAGTCATGCATGTGCACACATCATGAATGGCGTCTTCCTCTCCAGCTTAGACTGACGATGGAGCCTGCCTAACTCCCAGAGTCTCTGCTACCCTTCTGAAAGCAGAGGGAGGTACTGACAAGTAAGGAAACTGCTGTGAAGATGGAAGGAGGCAACAGGGACAGAACACCCTGTACATAATAAGTGCTCAAGTAATGGTTCTCTTTACCCTTCCTTATGCTATACCTCTTTGCCCTGCATGTGGTGTGGCCTTGAATATAGGAGGTACAAGGAAAGGCAACAGATTGAGCACTAACAGTTGGGGAGTGAGACATGACCTCCCTGGGTTTGCTAGCTGGTGGTCCTCTGCACAATTACCATCCCCAGTGGTTATGGGACCCTTCAGGCATAAACAGTTCTATTCCTCCAAAGGATACTCAAGTTCCATGGTGGGTGGCAATCAACAACAACACTTCCAGACAGTACCAGCTCTGGTCATATATTGAGTAAGTTCTCAATGATGAACACATCTCATTAGGGCCAGGCTTCATCTACCTTGAAATGGCAAAGACCTCACAGGTCACTTGTACTGTAGAGCTGCCTGGACACAGCTTCTTTAGTTATTCAGATGCAAATTAAATGCCCTTCCTTCCTGGCATGGATACAGATCTCCAAATAATTGACATCCACCTGAATGCCCTGTGAGGCTAAAGGGCATAAGTCAACTGACTCCCGTTTTCATTTCTTACTCTTTCCCAACCCTCCCAAAGAACAACACGTGTTTTCTCTCCAAATGTCCCAGGGTTGGCCAGTGTTCTTTTGCTAGATTCTCTCCCATCTGTGTGTACAGAGACCATCATGGTGCCTGTAGCAGGAGCCCTGCTCCTTCAGTTCTGATGTTTTTGTTGTCATACCTGATTCTTTTCAGACATGAGGAAGTCCAGTTTTCCTCCAGGGAGCCCCAGCTCTATGAAAGTCTTTACCAGCCGGAGGTCTGCACTGTTCCCTAAAAATGACAGATAAGCCCCCACCCCATTCCCATAGTTAATTATATACAAGGTGGAAAAAGGAACTCCTTCCTCCATTTCCTCCATTTCCATCGGATTTTCCCCATTATATTTTAATTAGATCATAAAAACAACTAAACCAAGTTCCTTTCTTCCTCCCCTTGCACACACACAGAGGCTGCTTCTTCAGAGACATCCTACCTCAATGGAGTCATTCCCTCATCTTCTACCATGTGGTTTGTAAATGCTCTAGGCAGGGATGGCTGGAAACACCACCTCTTCTTTTTCCTTGTCAAATTCTCCCTGCCCAGGATGTTTTGTAAGTGGTGCCACCTAATAGCTGATGTGGCACAATGTGACGCCAACAAGCCCCACTTGAATTACTTGCTTAATACAAAGACTGTCCAGCTCTGTCATTTATAGGCAGTTAGTAGCCCCCATAAAGGGTCAACCATGGCAGAGATATCTAAATAGAATAAGAATCTCCCTCAGGCAGCACAGTCTTGGAGGAGCAACCTCCATGATGCTCAATAGCACATCAGGAGGAGAGGAAGAATAGACGTAGAACTTGAGGCTGTCGCTAATATCAGAGACACAAAACACAGGGAGTGCACTCCTGAGTTCAAAGTCATGTGGAAAACAGATTTTATACAACAATACATTTTTAGGCATAAATTTCATGCAGGTCACAGGGGTCTTGTTGCATCTAAATCAAAGTTTGGCCCATTCCTCAGCTGGAAGGCCTATGCAGCAAAAATCCAGGAGCTACTCACTTGGATACTTAGATTCTCTGGCCTGCACGTGAACAAACTCCACAGGTCAAGGTCTCAAGTAGTTTCACATCATTCCTTATGAAAATACCCAGTGATTCAAAGGAGGGCTACAGTGCCCAGAGGAACCCCAGGCCTGGGAGGACCCCTCTTCTTTAAGGATGGATATGCCCAGATGGCCCAGATGCCACCTGTTTTGGTGACCTATCACAGTACACACCCATGCCTGTAGAACCATCATCAAAAATGGCATGTTATTTTGAGAAACATGTTATGAGATTAAATATTATCCATCCCTTCCTTCAATTCTGTCAGTAACCTTGTGATCTTTGGTCTCACTGTCACCTTTGTTTGGCATTCCAAGGATGCATCCTTAAAAATAAATGTCTCAAGCACCTATATTTAGTATAAGGAATTAAAAGGATTAAAATGTTCCCCTTTCCTACAGCTATTAATGGAGAAGGAACATTCTGAAACTTAAAGCATTGTCAGAAAATCTGATTTCATGAGGTGCTAAACTGAGAACCCTTACAAGAGCAGGAATTTGGGGCCTTTTGCACTGCGGAAGGTGTGTAAGCAGCCAGGACTGTTATCTGCGTATCAGTCCTCTGTCAATATAACTATACACTTGCAAACCAAATTTCAAAAAACAGAACCTATAGAATTCCAAAGAGTCTGGACAATGCACTCTGAACTACAGAAGTCACTTTCCAATGAAACCTGGCTTAGATATCAGTTGTCTTCCCAATGACCCATTGCCCAGGTGACAGCAGAATTGACGGCGGCAGCTCTGACAGAGTACAGTAGCTGCTCTACCTTTAGAGCATGCCTGTGCTCCCTGTGCTTGGTCACAACAAGGGAACAGCCCATTGCCCAACCAGATTTCTCATTTTAACAAAGAAATTGAGACTCTTGCCTCCTCGTGACTTAACGTAGCCTAAGTGAGAGGTACACGCCAGTCATGCGTGATGTTGAACGAATGAGTGAGAAATTTATTCTTTGTCCCTGCCAACCCCAGAACTCAGCAAAGTGTCTGGCATACAAGGGTGCCCTGAAGGTAAGAGGTGAGTAAAAACAGGCAGCGACGGTACTGACCACTGACCCGAGCTCCTCGAGGAATCCTTTATTCGTTCTATTCCATTTCTTCCTTTGTTTGTACCATTGTCTTAACTTGGGGGTCCATCGATTCCTGAAGTGCACTAATGTACTCAGCCCAGTACTTCATCTATTCATTCACTTCACTTCTTCTTTCATTCTTTCATCCCATTAGTTATCCATTTTCTCAAATATTCTCTTTATGTACCACTGATTTATTCAATTAATTCCTTCACTGGATTCATTCATTTATGTATTTTTTTTTCCTTAACAGGTTTCTTGTGCTACAGAGATATTTTCTTTTAGAACAAGGCTTTGACATCTTCCTAGACTTACTGTAGTAATCCATCCCATGGTGGCTACATTTTTAATAGATACCCAATCTAAGTGAATTAATAGCTATTACAAATTGCATTCACTATAGCCCTTTGAGGAGGGAACATTGGAACTCACCGTCCAGGCCATGGACACAGACAACCAGGTGAATCCCATCTTCCAAGTTTTCTTCCTCTTCCTCTGGTGGGAAATATGGTATATCAGAAGCTAGTACAGATAAGTCACTGTACAGAAATCCTTCAATCTTCAGTTCTTTTTTAAATTTTTCTTTGGCCTGATAAAAACTGGAGAATACACTAATTAATCACAAGCCAAGCTGTGTATTCCATGTTGAGCAGGAAATGAGTTGGGCTATATGTAGGAGTGATGAGCATCCCTAAGCCAAGTGTCTGCTGAGCGGCAAATGCTGAGCATGAGACCTCAGGGGAGATACTGATGAGCAAAGCTTTGTTCTGAACAAGAAGGCAGGAAACCACCCCAGGAAACCAAAGGGTGTGAGTTGTACAGATTTCCTTATGGTTCCTGCTTTGAACCAGGTAACAGGACTTCTAAGATTCTATCCAGCTCCAAGAATTTAGGCAATCTTTAGAATGATGCCCCAGGAGTGAAAGGTCCCTCCCTTGACATACAAGTGCACCATGGCCTGGCCTCCACCTGCTTCTCCAACATCCTCTGCCACCACTCCCACCCCTAGACTCACACACAAGCTCTGTGGCTTGTCTTCACATGTGTCTGCATGCAGCTGTGTGTCTGCAATGCCTTCCCACTTTGCTGTGATGCCCTTTGCGTGGTTTCCTGACTATCTAGGTGGTTAAAACGAGCGTGGACTTAGGAACCAGCGTGCCAACATCAGAATCTTGGTGTTGACACCTATTGTTCCTGGCAGTCTGTCTCTCATCTGTAGTGCTAGGAACCAGAAAATCTTAGGACTTTAGTATTTTTCTTTTATTCTGGGATATTTGCATATATTTATATAATCTGATATCTTGGGGATGGGACCCAAGTCTAAATATGAAACTCATTATTGTTTCATATCTGTCCAATACACAAAAGCCGAAGGTAGTTCTGTGCAATATTTTAAATAATTTGGGTCATGAAACAGTTCCATGATATGAAATCTTCTATTTGAAGCATGATGTCAAGCTCAAAAAGCTTGGGATCTTAAAGAGTCTCCATGAAGGATGTGGCTCAGGGGTAGAGCACTAACAGAGCACATGCAAAATGCCTGGTTTCTATCCCTCATAATAAACAAACAAATAAATAAATTTGAATTTTGGAGCATGTTGGATTTGGGCTTTCATATTAGGGATGTTTGAGCCGCATTATTATCTATCAGGCATATCATCATTGTCACGGTCATCATTATCACCCTCGGAATATTTTCCCCCAGTGCAGGTGTCTTCTTTAAGACACTTCCCCTGGTCACCATTCTATTGGTAGCCATTGCCCTCAGACAAGTTAGATCCTTATCCTTCTGGCTCTGCACATCTTCATGTTTACCCAATCAGATGTCTGCTACATACTTGTTGAGTTGATGACAAGTATCATAGGATAGGTATTTAGTATTCTTTACTGAACAAAAGTTCATATTTGACCTGACTGTGCAGTTTCACTTGGGGGGAAAATCATTATCCCATTATGTCAAGTTATCCTTTATATAAGACACCTTTGAAAAATAAGTCAGCAACCAATATGCTACTATGGTCACTTGAAATAAATAAATGTTTTGGGAGTTCCATTGGTTTAAGAAAAGTAATAGGTAAGTGATTAGAGCATGTAAAACACAGATGTTTCATCTCTATATGAAAATGTGCATAAACAATACATATAAACTCTAGATCATGGTTTTCAACCCATTTTAATGCACCTGTGTCCATTTTGTTGAATATTCACAGAATTTAAAACTCAGGACTTAATAGATAATATGGAATAATATTTTGCAAAACAGTAAATAAGATGAGCTACATTGATGAAATGACTCTATACCTTATCAATAAATAGTTTATAAGTAGGGGAAAATGGGAATAGAAATCTCCATAGGATGAAGGAGGGGATTCTGGTGTTGCAGAAGGATCCATGAACTTAAGAAATTTACATTCTTAAAGGAGGCTTATGAGACCAATCTGGTTAAGAATTTCCAACCCTCAAAGGCTCTTAAAATGCCCTTCAAAATGTGCAAAGATAGAGTGACAATGGTGTTCACAAGGGAGATGTGCATCATAATAAAACTTGAACAAAATTTAAATGTCTACCTGTCAAGGATTTTGTTCACATTCTGGGGTACTGTGACAACATCAACATGAGGAAATAAAATGAAACTATAAACATAGAAAGATTTCCAATATATTATTAGGTTGAGTAAAACATATGCAGGAACTGACAGAACAATCCATCTTTTGCATTAAAAGCAGACATGGATAGAGAGGCACCTAGTAAACTGCGGAAGAGCCTACACAGTTGTTATGTTGGGAGGTGGGCTTGTTGGTAATTTTTACTTCCTTACACTGTTCAACCTCTTTTACTTGTATGACATGCATTTGATCATTTAAATCAGGAAACAAACATCTCAAATTTTAAAGAGTGTGTGTGAAATTGAGAATTCTGTGGAAAAATCCAAAGGGTGGGGCCAGGTATCCCGTCAGCAAGCTCACCTGAACATCCTTTCACCGACATCTTCCTCCAACTTGCTGGAATGGGTAGAAACAACTCCAAAGGACCCCAGAGGCTGATGAGTGATGGGAACTGGGGTCTGTCTGGAAGAGAACCCAGCCCTGGCAGGGGTCTCCTTGGGCACAGATGAGAAAGGGAGACAGGTGGCAGTGCAAGACACGGACAAGTTGACCACCTCCACGGTCTTCAGGCTCTCCAGAGAAAAGGTCTCTGCAGAGGCCAGCGGGGGACCCATGATGGAAGCGCCTGTCCTCAGCTCTTGGTTTCTCAGAATTTGGGAAGGGATGGAGGGAGTCAGAGCGTGGCACACAGTGCCTGCTTCGTGTTCATCCTCTAGGAAGGCATCAGGTTCTCTATGCAACACCACGTGGCCCACAGCGCCAGGCGCACCACTGTGCTCAGGATTCAGGGTGGTGGCATCAGAAGCTGATGTACAGCTGAACTCAGGCACCTTGTGGTGGGACATTTCCCCGACTCCTGAGATACTGCTGTTGGAGAGAATGTGTTTGCCCACGTGCGAGTCTTTAGGCCTGCCCTTGGGGGTTTCCATGAGTGCTCTATGCAATGACCGGGTCCTGGGATTCTCAAGCGCTATGATACGTGGTATTTTTAAGTTAAGACCTTTGGTTTCGCTATCTGGAGTGTTCTCAGTCCTGCCATCCAGACGATAGTGGCCTTGAGGCTCCACCTGGCTCTCTTTACCTTGGGGGATGTCCATGTAACCAGGGTCTTGATGTTGGTCAGCAGGTGAAACTGTTTCCCCAAAGGACTGGACTGCCCTGGCATCCTGGGCTCTGGACCTTCCGCTTGGTTGAGAGCTATGCTCAGGGGAACCTTTGCTCTTCTGCATTTCTGAAGCTTCAGGGAAGTCTCCTTTTTTCCCCATGGCGTCTGCACCTTCAGTTGCGTCTTCCGGGCTGCTGATTTGGGGTGCAGATGCAGATTTGGTCAGCTTGGTGAGTGCCAGCTCACGTTCCTCCTCTTCAAAAGGCAGAGAGCTGATGGAGGTGAGAGAGGCCTGGATGCCACTGGGCAAGCTGGTGTTGCTTTCTGTGTGTCCACCCTCCAGGGAGTTCCTGTGGAGTGCATGTCTTCTAACCAACTGGTGCAGGACTTCCCGATCACTGGCTAACTCCACGGCCCTGCTTCGGGCCTCTGACCAGGCCACAGAGCTTGGCTCACTCTCAATGCCTGAGTCAGATATGAGGGAAGAAGACCGCTTGATGGCCCCAGACAGCGTGGACAGCTCCTCCTGCTCTTCCACATGAGGGTCCTGGAAGGAAGACCTAGGATCCAAAGGCTCCGTCAGAGTAGCACTTAGCGGGGTCTCGGTGGGGGCGAGTCTCAGGCTCAGCAGCACTGGCTGACCCTCTGGTTCTGTCCCCTTTCCTGAAGGACTCAACTCGGTGATAGGTGCTTTGTCTGAAGAGATGGCATTTTGGTGATATCCACCCGCTACCACTTTACTTGATACTGTCCTGTAACTGTCCCTAGGGCTGCCACTCTCACTAGAGAGTTCCATGGGCTCAGCTTTGTGGAGGTTCTGATTACTGGATTTTACCTCAATGTAGGTCAACACTGTAGACTGTCCATCCTCTGGGCCTGGACTCCTCCTGGGGCTGTCCACATCTGCCAGTGGATGGGTTCTGACATCAGACATTTGGCCAGACCCACATTCATCTTCGGGCACACCTGCTTTGTTCTGGAATTCACCGATTGTCAGATACACCTGAGATTCGGAGCACACGTCCACATGATCTGCTGGGGTTACATTCTTGTCTGGCCCTGGACACCTAGTAACCTCCTCATTAGTGTCCACTTGAGGTGGTTTCCTGGTAGATAAGACAAAGTCTCCCCTAAAAGATGATTTCCTATTTATAACATGGTTCTCTTCTTTTTCTTTTAGATTCATTATTGAGGGACTTACAGTTGGAACTTTGAAATTAGGATAAACACTCAAATTGGGTCCTACAAAGAAAAAAAATTTATATTACAGTTTGCAAATCTGTGTTCACAAGTTACTCTCAAATAGCTAATTGTGTAAAACAATAATAATAATTTTTCAGTCCTTCATTTCTGTTCTAAGAAAATACTTTCCCGGAGATTCTTAGAATTTCCCAGGACATAGAAGTCTTTTTACCCCAGAGGCATCCAGAGAGTTTATGCTCCCCTGCTAACTCATGCTGAGTTTCTAAATAGTTCATGCTAATGAGCTGAATCAGGATGGGTCTGGCCCTGGCAGAAGGACCAACCAAGCAAAGAGAGGCTTAGGGTCTAGAGCTGAAAAGTCACATCAGTCTGACCCGTAGAGAGAGGTGAAGTTAGCCCTGTGGCCCCAGTGGTTCAATCCATCCTTCCCAAATAATGAAGCTCCAATAGGAAGTCTAGATACACTGGCTCAGGAGAGATGTTCCAGGAGGGAGACTAGTCCTGAGAACACCAGAACTTCTTACCTGGCACCAGCAGACCTCAGCCTCTGGACCCCTGGGTTTGTTTATGTTTGTGTTTTTGTCTTTTGTTTACAGCTGGTACTTATTTGTATTCTTTACAATAAGACTGTAATTGTAAGTATAATCCCTTCCCGAGTTCTGCTTATTCCAACAAATTATTAGATTGAGGGGGCTAAGGGAACCCAGAATTCACAGCTGCTTGGGTAGAAGTGTGGGTGGCCTGTGCCCCTCAGCCTGGGAGTGCACCTGGGGTGAAGTCGAGTGAATTCTCTGCTTCTGAAACTGCACAGACTGCAGCAAAGCTATGGGGATAGTGAACAGACGTTTGGTCTCTAGGGAAGGGGAGGAGGAGGGCCATGCAAGCAGAGCATGTGGAGTCGGGGCACTGAAACTCTCTGCATGATACTGTCATGGTGGACACGTGGCCTTATACATTTATCCAAACCCAGAGAAAAGCCCAGAGTGACCTGGTATCCAGTGACTCCCGGTGATAATGCTGAGCTAGTGTAGATGTCCTGACTCCAATTAATATTCTGCTGACAGGGAGGTGCTATGTACCTAACTGGGCAGGGGATGCATGGGGTATCTCTACACCTTTTCCTTCATCCTTCTTTGGCTGGGAACCTAAAATCACAACAAAATGAGTTGTTAAAAAGGAAATGAAAGCAAACAGAACTGAATGTGGGCAGTATTCTGGGGAATGCAATTGACCTGTTCAGAAAAGGAGGTAAGTCACCCTGGTCAGGGGACATCATGGGCAGAGGTTTTGTGGGCTGCAGTTTGGCTGGACATGAGGAGCTCCTTTGTGGATGGAGCCAAGGTGAAGAGAGAAGGGGGACTGGGTTGAGGCAGGTGGAGAGGACCTGCAGGGTGATCAACTCGCACGCCCAGCATGGACACGGAATCAGAGTTGACTTCATAGGTTGTAGATTCTTGGAATAAAAGGTGTTTCTCAGATTTGCCACAGACAATTAAGACTGGATACAGGAGGTTCAGTGAGGAAGTGGGTTGCAAAGATGGCAACAATGTAGCTTCACCCTCACAGCTCTCCCAGAAAAGGAGAGGGCAAAGGGTTCAAATTCCAAGAGAATGGATTTATAATCAGACACCAACAAATGAGAGTAGAAACTTGAATTCGTCTTTGTTCTGTGCCTGTCACTTTTAAAAACCTGTCTTGTGGATGGATCTGCCCATTGTTCACAGTAACACTGGAGTACAATCACTACCCCTTTTCCCCAACTTCATGCAGGTAACTTCCTTGGGGAAAAGACTCTATTCAGAAAGTCTGTCCAACTCTTGAGGCTTTGAGCAAACCATTCAATGGCCTTGGGCAGGGGTCTAGGAGGGCAGTGGGGGGACAACAGATAGTAAGGACAGATTTGCTGAGTCTGTGATACCCAGAAGATAGGCAAGCCATGACGCTGTGGGGAAATCATGAGCCAATGCCATTATTTTAACATGGAAATGAAACTCTTTAATTCCCCTTTCATACCACACCCAAAGGATGACTGCAAATGTGTCTGGCAATCTCAGGACAAGGAATAAATAACAAGGTCCCCAAGTTCTAGAGGAAAGAGGAAGTAGTTCTTTGTGCTGAAGTTCTGTGAAGGGACAAGAAGGCCAAGCCCAGCCTTGGGTTTTGCATGGGGACATAGGCTGACCAACTGGTATAGGGGATGGGTATACATCAATTTGAGGTCATGTGGAAAGAAGCTCTGGAGGACAGCCGAGTGTAGGGTACCTGCCTGTGGTCCTTCTAGGAAGATGAGATGAGTGTGATGGAGCCGGCCTTAGGCACTTTAGAGAAGCTACAAAGACACGCTGGTCCTAAGGTAGCACATAGGTGTGGACAATGGACAGCTTAGAGGGACCTGCATGGGCAGATGCTCCTAGAGATACCTCCCCCAGCCAGGTCTTGTGGCTGTTTAAGGCTCAAGGGTGCTGATAGGCAAGATGGAGGGAGACGATGGGTGGCCAAGGAAGCCCCAAAAGATTGAGGTTGACTTTCCAGCCAGTGCTGCAGGATGGAGGCTAGGAGATAAAGCAAAGCTGATTTGTAGAAAATAAAGATATGTGATAAATGGCACATGTGAGTTGAGGACTGAGATTTATAATCACTAGGAAATGGATTAGTATGTGTAGGAAAAATGACTGGAAGACAATTCACAATGAACCCTGAGAATGTTGATGTCAGAGCCTCAGATGATGAGTGCTTAGTTAATTTCTAACTTAACTTCAAAGTTTCTATAGATAATGTGACAATAAGGACAATGAACTTGCATGAATACATACACACACACAGGTACATACACATCAGTGTAGATACACATGTGTAAATGTCTCCAGTTCCAGCCTGGTGTGCATTTCAGCTGCCATACACCTGGGTAACACTAGATGTCAGAGTACAACTGAGAACCAGATTTATGTACTTGTAAGGTAGCACTGTCCTTAGAAGTCACCTAAATTTATAGACATCCAACAAGTCTCAGATTGTAGCACCTGTGAAATTTAGCCTCTTTGCCCTTCATGTAAATGCTGAGCCTAATAATAACCCTCCAGGGGAGATTGTAAGGCAGGACATGAGCTTTGGAATCCAGGGAGTGGGTTTGAATGTTGGCTTAAAGCCACATGGTCTTTAAAAGATGCTCATAGTCTTCCTGCCTCATTTTTTGTCCTTAAATAGAGTCCCCAAGGTCATTTACAGGATTAAGGAGATAGAGCCCTGAAACCTCAGCATAAGGTGGGCCTGGCAGTTCTGGGACCTTGAAGGGATTACAAGTCTATTAGCTTTTGGGGTCTCCATTCAGGGCTGAGGGAGGGGTCAGAGAACAGACATTCACTGTGCTATCTAGGTGCACCCCCCACCTCCACTTTTCCCCATTGATGTGTGAGTTCATTGACAAACTTCCTCACCAGCCAATCTGGACACACACATACCAAAACTGAGGACAAACGTATTTTCTCTTCTTTCTGTTATGAGTGGTTAATTCATGAATCTGTATCATTAGTAATGCTGCCTAACGATACGGACTCATTTGTCTTGAGTGCTTTGCCTGACTCATGGCATGAAGCAGACATTGCTGAGAATTTGAACCCAAAGCCATTAAAGTTCAATCAAAAGTGTCTTTATGTTTAAATTGCACATTTGAAATAAGAAAGGACCTTCCTGTATTTCCAAGTCACACTGGTGTGTGCATAGCAGAGTGGAGGGATTCTTGTTCTGTGGGTGAAAATAGACAGGTTAAACTCTTCCCCAGAGAACCGTGGAGAGAGTTTTTACTGTAATTGCTCCTTTGTTAGATTGATTTATCAGTGTTCCTGAAATAAAGTCATTTCGATTAGTTCCACTTTAATTCTGTTCCCCTGGATGAGCTGAACAAACCCTGTGTTAACTTGGTCCCACTGTTGTTGGGATAGAAACAGAGAGAGACTTCCAGGACCCTGTGGAAAGCCTTGAGTCTTTCCAGGACAACAGAAGACAAACCTGTTGCAGGGCAGTCCACATATCTGTCCTCAAAGATGACTGGCAGGGTGTTCCAGTCACCATCGATGTCCAGGCACTCTGCGGGCAGCGGGGGCATACTGGTGAGGTACTCCGAATTCCGGATGTCCAGAGACAGCTGGCTGTGCATCTGTATGCTGAGGAGCACAAGGACAGGGTGAGCATCCAAGGAGGACTGGAAGCTTTGAAAGAGCTGTGGCACCCCTAATCGCTGTGGCACCCCTAATCCCAGGGACATTCAGAAGAGCTGTGGTGGACTCTGGCAATCAATGGTCTTCCTTTCTTCCCTCCCACCTATTCAGCCCCCAGAACCATAGTCTGCTTTGTTTGGGAACTGGTCCAGGTGCTGGGGTTAGAGGTCATGAACAGTAGGATTAGGTGAAACACAGAGGTCTATCGCGTGCCATTTGGGGGAGGAAATGAAGACCCTGCTGGAGGGATGCTGGCTGGGTTTCTGAATGGCCAGTGAGCTCCAGTTAGTGCCTTGGAGGGAAACCTTTATCCTTGCTTCTCTACCTTGTGCCACTTTGAATCCGAGCCATATTGTGGTAGGTTTCACTTGAAGACCATCCAAAATAGCTTTTTATCGATTACTATGTGTGTATTGGCATCCTTGACAAGGACGTAAGTTTCCCTAGTCAGGAGCCCTATTTTTTCATTCCTCTATGTAGGATTTTAAAATGCTCATATTTTTTCATGACACAAACATCCTTCCACCAATAGAAATTATTATTAATAATTAATCATTTTTTTTAAATTAAAATGCTAGGATGTTACAAAATATTCATCCCCTTCTCCTTAAGTCCCTGGGTGAAGAGAGAAAGTTTATTTTTTCTCATGAAAGAAAAAGATTAAAGTTTCACTATTTTTTTCCATAACAACTCAATCTCTTTTCCATGAGATAACAGGGGGTCCTCAAGGGATTGGTGAGTTTGGGAGAAGGGCCTGCATTGCTAGTTGTTGTCTGTCTGTGGCTCTCTTTGAAGCAGCCTGAACCCAGGAAGCCCCCATCTCGTTTGCAGATGTGCAGAACATGGGCCCGTAGACCAGCTGTATAGCTGTGCAGCTCTGCCTAGGCCCAAAGCAGCTTCTCTAACCTGAACCTTCACTGGCGGGCACAGTGAGATGAACACACACACGGAAACACACCTAGTGTACAGATACATCATATAACGCATATTATCCGTGCACAGTGAATATTACTTAATACACACATCAGTTTAAGAAAAATTAAATATGTGTATTTTATTTTCTTCTTACTTTTCAATTGGATTTTTACCCACAAAAGTAAAGGAGGGAATTTTTTTCTCTTCCTCAAAGCCCTGAAGGCTGCTGTAACTTCCTAACTCTTTAAATATTTAACGCTTTAAATATTCCTCTCTTAATATTTAGATGGGATCTTTTTAGCCACCCCTGTGCTTTGCAACACCATCTAAATCTGGAACCTCCAACCAGTTTTTAATTTATGAAGACATAGATTGGGCACTAGGGCACTTGGGATGATGTGGACCACTGGGGCTGGACGTGCATCTAGGTCTGCATCTCATGGTCATGAAGAAAGTAAGAGCTGAAGCCAGCGACCATAGCACAGCAGCACAGGTGAGGGGTGTCTGCTCTGAGCCACGTGGAGCAGATGCCCGCTCCTGCGGGAATGCTGCTTCTTGAGTGCGGGGCTTGTGGATGTGACCAAGTACCTAAAGCAATGCTCAGCATGTGCTGAGAAGTGGTGACACTGCCAAGGGGCCCAAGAGAGTCAGTGCCACTCTCTGACCAGAGGCTCTGAGAAGTGTCTCAGCCAAGATGGTGTGTGCTATCTTCAGGCTCAGCCACAGGTGAGCTCAGGGGAGCTGCCCTGCCTTCCTCGGGCTTTGTTCACAGCATGAAAACTCCCTGGAGGAACTGGCAGGACAGTAGTAGCGTGAGACGGGACCACAGCTTTGTCATCCTCTTTATCAAGATTGGTTTGAAGAGGTGCATAAGGGTGTCTAGCTGAAAAATGGTGGACTGGTGATGGTTGTTTTGGGGTGCCAACTTGACAGAATCAAGAATACCCAGAGAGCTGGTAAAGCACGCTTATTCTTTTTTTAGGGGGTGGGGCTAGGGTTATAAGGGACTGAACTCAAGGACACTCAACTACTGAGCCACATCCCCAGCCCTATTTTATATTTTATTTAGAGACAGGGTCTCCTTAGTGCCTCTCTTTGGCTAAGGCTGGATTTGAATTTGCAAGCCTCCTGTCTCAGCCACCTGAGCCGTTGAGATTACAGCCATGTGCCACTGCAACCAGCAAGCATGCTTATTCTTAATCATTGCTTCCATTGTGGCCTGAGGTTTTCAGACATGGGCTGAGCCTTGCTCTCACCTTCCCTGGTCCTCCAGCTTGCACAGGGACTATGGTGGCACTTCTTAGCCTCCAAATGGAGCCACTCAATTCCACTAGCAAACCCCTTTCTATACACCTCTCTATGTATGCACCCCTCTTTTCTGTCTCTCTGGAGACCCCTAACTCAAAGGCCCTTAGGAATTACTTGACTGCAGCCAATGGGAGAGAAGCCTTCCTGGCATGGTCCCTCACTCCTCCACAGTGTCCACCAAACACGGAACACTGCCCTTGCCCCCTCCTCCAAACACAAGCACTTCCGATGCCCCTGCCTGATCTATTTTTTACAAGACCATCACCTTCTAACATACTATATAATCCGTGGATTTATCATGCTTATTGTTGAATACTTATCTCCCAACATGAGTGTCTGTTTTGTTCACTGAGGCATCCCGAGTGCTTTGAGCAATGCCTCCATACAGTGAGCAATCAAAAGTACCTGTGAGAAACTTCTCAAAAGGAGAAACACAAAGGCCAACAGATATGTGAAAAAATGATCAACATCATTATCAATCAGGGAAGTGCAAATCAGAACTACAATAAGATTTCATCTCACTCCAGTCAGAATGGCAACGATAAAGAATACAAACAATAATAAATGCTAGTGAGGTTGTAGGGGAAAAGGTGCCCTTGAACATTGTTGGTGGGGCTGGAGACTAGTACACTGCTCTGGAAAACACCATGGAGATTCCTCAGAAGACTAGAGATGGAGCCACCATATGACCCAGCTATCCCACTCCTTGCTATTTTTCCCAAAAGATCTAAAATTGACATACTACAGTAATATAGCCACCTCGTTGTTTATAGCAGCATGATTCACAATAGCTCAATTATTGAATCAACCCAGAATCCAATCAATGGATGAATGGATAAAGAAATATATATATACACACACACAATGGAGTTCTACTCAGCCATAAAAAAGAATGAAATTATGGCATTTGCTGATAAATGTATGAAAATGGAGAATATCATGCTAAATGAAATAAGCTAATCTCAGGAAATCAAAGGTCAAATGTTTTCTCACATATGCATAAACTAGAGTAAAATAAAGGAAAGGGGGAGGAAGGATAAGAAAACATAAAGATAAAGGGAATATCAGTAGTGCACAAGAAGGAGATCAAGAGACAGAGTGGAGGGTTGGGTAAGGGGAGGCAACACAGAATGAATTCTTTTTTCCACACTTTTTAAAAAAATTATATCTTAATTATTTATTTTTGTATATGTGGTGCTGAGGATTGAACCCAGTGCCTCACACACGCTAGGCAATGCTCTATCACTGAGCCACATCCCCAGCCCCAGAATGAATTCTTAAAAATCATGTTATATGCCTATATAAATATAGGACAGAGAAATTCATATATATGCATAGGTGGAAGGAATCAATCAAATACAAGTTAATAGATGAGTGAAAGGAAGTCTAGTAGAGTAGAAGAAGGAGAATAGGGAAGGGGAGGAATAATGGGAGGGAAAAGGGGGGATCATGAACTGAAATCAGTTTTCATGTCTGTATGAGTTTGTTGGGATGAACCCCACTACTATGCAGAACTACAAAGCTCTAATTGAAAAAAAAAAACCAGACACACAGTATGTGCTGAATGATTTAGTTAATCAACAAGGTATATGCAAGGAAACTGGAGGGCCACATATTCCCAGACCCTCTCTGGAGACCTGCAGGGATGCTGGGAAGCAGCAGCAAAGGAGTTTGGAGATGGGGGGTGAAGTCCCCTCCCTCCACGTCTCTGCCGCACACCCACTGTGGAAGCCACAGTGGAAGAAACCAACTTGGAATGAGCCCTGCTGGGGTTGGCCTTGCCCTCCTGTGTGTGAGCACACAGACTCCGCACATGGCCGGCGCTCAGAGCCTGGTCCCTTCCTCCCTGTCTGCATGACACTCAGGGCCACTGGGCATGCAAGTCCATCTGTCTGTGTGGTGCCAGGGGCACCCACATGTTGTGCACTCAGCAGGTGCCCCTGGGTTTCCCTCTGGCCATGCTGAGCAGCAAACAGGGAGGAGTCCTGTGGACGATGGTCTGGGGCATTGCCTAGCGATGTCGGCAGGTTTGCCCTCACTCCAGCTGTACAGCCCAAGCCTACAGATACTTCTGCTTTAGAAGCTGAAAGCCCCTCTTTTGATTTATTTCTTTAGGAAAGTGGCTCAATACCATCCATAGGATCCACAGGACAGGGGCTAGAAGTGTGGCCTCTGGCCTCCAACAGAGCCCCATTTCTGTCTCTTTTGCTATATGCTCTACAACAAATCACTTCACCTCTCTCAGCCCAGGTTTCTTCTTTATAGAAGAATAGTGTCTACCTTATAGGCAAATAAGAACATTGAATAAGCCAAGGCATGGAAAAACACCTGGACAGCTTCTTACTAGAAAAATCTCAACACTTGTGAGCACCTGAAGGCAGGCAAATACCTGTTGAGTTCAACCCTGTTGCATGGATGTTTAATAAAACAATACTGAGGTACAGGTACAGACACAGAGCATAGAGAAGTCAAAGGCATATCTCAATGATCACATTACGTCAATCAATACACCAGTGTAGGTCTCCCTGTGCCTCATTGTTTCTATTCACATTTGGTCATAAACAAACTTCCCGTAGCACCAACTTCCTGTGTGAAAAGCACTGGGGAGACTTTGGTGGTACAGAGAGCAGGACCATGAAGCACACACTTGCTAGGTCTCATCCTAATCGCTTCTTGAACATACCTTCAAGACCACAACCTGGGGCCAGAGGTCTTCCTCTCCATGGCACCCGGGACAGCTGTGCACACCCAGGAGTGTAGTGCGGAACAAAAGGTCTCCACAAGCACTCCAAGCTGCTGCTACCCCTTCCATCTCCTCCTGTCCTATCCTAGCCTCCGCCATCTCGCAAGTGCTGCTCCCAGCCCACCCAGCTCACCTCACAGTCCGTTAAGCGGTAGTGACCTCTGGTTGGAGAAACACAATCTAGTGCGTGCTTAAACAATAAAGGGCTCACCGGGCAGCCTGGCATTTCCACATGTCTGCACAGTTCAGCCTCCTGTGTCAACAGGGCAGCCTCGCCGAGGCTCCATCCTCTCCCCAGAACCACCCTCCATGGGAGCCCACCCTTCTCATGCACAGTTCCTGGTTCTCTGATCCCTGTGCACCACCTCATCCAAACCTCACTCCTGCTCACAGGACCCTGGGCCTTTTCTCTGCAATTTTCTCCATCTGCAATGAACTCTCCCTCTCTGTTCTACGGTTTTACCCTGGAGGGCCTAGCTAAAAGTTTCTTTCCTTCTGAGCAGGAGCCCTTCCTAGTCTCTGCCTTACGTTAATGTCTACTCCTAATTGAATCCTTAAAAACTGCTCTAACCTGACAGCTACATTATAGGACCAAGATATTTGCAGGGCCCAATTTTGTACCTGGTTCTCTTCCCTAATGCCAGCTTCCTAGGAAGACCTTCTCTTACAGCTCCTTAAACTAGTCTCATCTGTTCCCCTCACACTGAGAACTATTTCACCATGCACATCACCACTGGGCAGATTATATTTATTATGTGCCTTCCACCACTAAAATACAAGCCCCATGAAGTAAGGAATTTGTTTCTGGTTCACTGATAGAGTAGCCAATAGTTGAAACAGCGTCTGACATGTGCTCCATGCTAAATAGTTGTTTCTTGAAAGAAGTAATCTCCTTTTTTTATGTCTAAGAAACCAGGTAAGAAAGATTCAGTAACTAGTAGGATGCCTGCCACAAGTATTGTAAGTTGCAAAATCAGTATTTTAAGACGTGTAATGAAATTTGAAATGCTGAGGTCCATATTCATTTGCAGGTAAAAAAGCAGAAATTACTCTAGGTCCTCCTTATCCCCCGGCCCTCAAGGCCCCACATGGTCTGTTCCTCCTGTTGCTCTGAGTTTCCCTGCTCCTGCACTCCATTCTAACTGCACTGATCTTGTTGCTGCTTTTCAAAGATGTTCTGTTTTTGTCTCACCAGCTCGTCACTGCATGACCTGCTGTAACCCCAGCCTGCGTTCAAGTGTCACATCTGCAGAAAGACTTTTTATCATCCTTTGGGGAGGAGCAGGGTCTGAAACTCAAGCTGTCACCCCACTAGTTTCTGAATCTTTGCCCTTGGCACAAGAGGCTGCCATTCAAGCCGGGCTCTTTGAGGGGAGGGTCCTGGCCTGTGTCTGTCACCTCCACAAGTGGGCATTCCTGGAGCCCATCTGAGGCTAACCTCCTAGTGACTCTGGGAGACCATTTCCTGCAGTCATTCTGATTTATAATTTTGTGCTGTGGCCCCCAAAGCTGTGTTTACCCTGTCAGACTAGCTCTTCTGAAGTTAGTTTTGGAAAGTATGTTCTCCCAGTTCTAGCTGGAGCCCGGAATGAGGGAACGAATAAAAGGCTGAGTGGAAGACTCTCAGGATCTCTAGACAAGTGGATTCCACATGCAGTTGTGTTTTCTAGGAGCCCAGGTCACTTCCAGAACCCCTGAGGCAAACTGTAAATGTCATCGTACTTTGCAAATATAAGGAAGCCCGAGGAGAAAACAAGCTTATAGAAGGGTGTGAGAGCTCCCGTGTCCATCCTGTGCAAAGCGGAATGTCAAGCTCTGCTCCTGGTGGATTCACTTGGCATCCCCAACATTGTTTCACCCACCTTTTTTATGTTTTGAGGTGAGGTGTTGCTCAGAATCAACAGGAGAATGTGGATGTGCGTAGCAAAAGCCAAAAGACCCTGGAGGGATCTCTGCCCCTCTTCACCAGGGCTATCCCCGAGGGACAATGGCCTCATGGCCCATGAACCCTCTGACTTTCTTGAGTACTAGAAGGTGGCAAACTTAGAAATTCACCAGTCCTCCTAATTAGGGAGCTCAGCCTTAATTACTACGCTAAATGCATTTTTCAGTTACTGCAGCATCTAGAGCAGATTGTGTGTTTTCTGACGTAGCCTATGGCCACACCACCTGCTTCGACTTCACTCTGCCAGGATTCAGCACAGATGTCTTGCAGGACTTGGGAGACTTGATTCTGTCTCTAGAAGCATAATGACTCTCAACAAAGGAAACCTCAGCTCGCTGACCTCTCCCACTGGGCACTGTCTAAATCGTCCGCTTGCCTGGCGCTTCGCACTAGAGGTGCAGAGGCGAGGAGATCCAGAAAGTGAAAGGGCAGCTTGAACAAAGAAAAGAGGTGGACTGTCCTGGGGGAGGGGGGACTACTTTATACGGCAGGGTAGGCATGCGATTCATTACTCACAGGTTTTCCTGAAACGTCAAGACAGCAAGTTTTTGGTGCTCCATATAAAAAAAGGCCTCAGAAAACCTTCGGACCTGAGGAATAAAACAGAGTAAATGGCTGACTTCTTTAGGTGGCTGTGGCCTCCTCTGTTTAGAATTGAGGGTCACGGAGATAAGTGTGATGCACTAAGAGAAGGAAAGCTTGTCCTTCACCCAGAGGTCTGAATCAAAGCTCTTAGCCCAACCCTGGTTTATAGACACAGTTTAGTACATGTTTATGAATCTGTTCTTACATTGCTTTTTATCATTTTTATATGTAGGTTTTATTCCTCCTACTGGAATATGAGATCTTTGCAAACAGTCACCATGAATAAATGCAGAATAAACAGAATTTCCAAATCCAGCCTTGTGAGTGTGCTTGCTAAGCATTTGGTGAATCTAATCCTCAGATATTTGCTCTTCTTGCTCTAAATGAGAAGACCAATGTCTTTCACTATGCATTAGTACCAACCCAAATGTACCCAAGCTTGTGGCCAAAAACATACTAAGAGCAATGCCTTCCCTTCCAAATTAATTTTTCAAATGTTGTTTTGATTGTTTATTTGAAGTGCCCTGGATCTAACCAGGGGCCTTGCTCATATGATGCTGGTACTCTACCACCCATCTCTATTCCCAGCCCCTCAAATACTTTTTAAAAGTACTTGGAGTACCCCTATGATAAGGGTAAGGGTGGTGTTTTATGAAGGATGGAGCAAAGGCTTGTGTGGCTAAATAAGCTCCTGATGTCACACTGCTTGTTCAGGGTGGGGCCAGGATCAGTGCTCCAATCTAGAGCTCAGGACAGTCCCAATTCTTACTCAGTTCAGGGAACTGACACTTGCCAAACTTCCTCAGGACATTAAGTGCATGTAGGAAGTTTATGCCATGAGACATTTTACCCTCAGGCTGTGGTGCTCCTGGGTGAGATAAGCAGTCACTTGGGAGTGGAGTGTCACCGTATCCAGGAACTGTGTCCACAGAGCCATCAGGTGGGAAGCAAGCCAGGCGAGATCCTTACTTATCTGCTCAGCTATCTTCTCTGGATTGTTCAGCATCTGGAGGCAAAAAATGCAGTGGTCAGGCCCCGCTCCCTGGGCTCCTGCCATCTCCACTGACTCCTGTGCTCTTGGCGAACATCTGCCCATCGGTGGAATGATATTAAACCATCCTGAGACTCTGGGGATCACCTATCAAGTCACTTTGGAGGCGGGACTTAAAATAATCAAGGTGGTGATAAATTATTTGTAGTCCCTGTCTACAAACCAACATCCTGGCCTCCTCTCGCATGAGAGATCACCGACGGCCTAGCTCAGTCTCTCCCCACTTTGTCTTGTCTTTGTGTCTATTTTAAGCCCAACCCAATCCTGGATTTCTGGAAATGTCTTGCACCTTTGATGTTTTCTCTTTCCCCATGGGTCCAATGGCTTCTTCTTTCAACTTCTCTACTCAACCCTTTCCACAGTTTACGCTTCCTATCGGTGCCCAGATCCAGTGACTTCTCCTTTGTGAACCTTGGCTTCACAACCATCCAGCTGAAAACCTTCCATCCCATCCTCCCACCCCACCCCCACCCCCGGCACTGCAGATCCTCACACTGCACTCCACTCTGTCCTGAGGTTCTGAACTCAGTCTTCGTAGTCATGAAGGCTTCCACTCATTAATACCCATCGTTTGGCAGGTAGTGTGCTGAGTATTTTGCATAGTTTTCCCATGTAATCCCCACAGTTACTCTGTGGTGGAGGCATCGTAAACATTCTTCTACAAAAATCTAAAATGAGAGTGAATAAGTAGCGAGAGTACACAAGTCCACACCGAGCTGGGATTGAACTGAAGAACTGTGGGACCACAAAGCCACATCCCCACACCACAGTACCGGGTAGAGACCTCCAGAGAGAAGAGAGTCCATGACCTCATAGCACTTAACTAGCCGGGAGAACTGCACATGGCGGGGTCTCCCTAGCCCTGGCCTACCACCATTCCTTAAGGAGGGTTGCAGGTTGCTTTTAAAGCTAGGAGTTGGACTAGAGTGGGCCCAGAGCCTTTTGGGAAGACCCCAGGAACAGAAATACTTTGGATCGCTGTCACTTGATATGGGATAGCCATCTTCCCAAGAAGCATGCTGGTTGGAGAATTCAAATAGATTCCAGAGAAGTGAGAAAAGAGACGGTGTCTTTGAGGAGTGTGAGGCAGCCAGTCCTCAAATCCTGACACCAATCTCTAGGCTTAGTCATTTATACAACAAGCATGTGAGGGCATTGTGTGGGTCTGAAGCACATGTGTTGAAGCCGTTGGACCCAAGGGGAAAGAGCAAACACCAAAGGTGTAAGACATTTCCAGGAGGAGTTGGAGAGGGCCTCTGCCTCACTCGGTGGTGGAGATAGGGATGTGGATGTGCAAGAAAGACTGGTGTGGCACCCTCTACCACACATGATGAAATGGGCACACAGCCACAGCCCTTCCAAACCCTGCTTTCCTCATTTATCCTGTGCCTCAGTTTCCTGAAAGGACAGGCACAGTAAGTGACTCCATTTGAATGCAATGATACATGGGAGGATCTAAGTCCAGTGCCTGAATCACCAACAGCCTTTTGTTGTCCTTGGACTGAAGGCTGATGCTAGATGAAGGCAGAGCAGGTGGCGTGAGGAGTCTAACAGTAAAAGAAAGAGGAAAGGAGAAGTTTGATGCACAATAACACTATAAATTTTGAATATTATTACTTTACAATTAATGATTAGCTTCCAAACACAAGATTTTATTTAAAAATTCTACTCAGAGCTGCTTCTTCCAAGAGGCAAGGTCAGTATTTGGTGACCACTCTTGGCTGTGTTGCAGACACCAGGGTTAAGAGACGGAAGACAAAGGTCAGGTGGGGGGCTCTGGGGAAAACGCAGCCACTGAAAATCCTCCAGGTGGAGAGTGTGGCTTTGGATGGACTAGAAGTTGCTCAGATTTGAATTCTCCAACCAGCATGACTCACTGATGACAGCCAAACTCCTGTGTCAACACTTGGCACCATTTGCCCCTGAAAACAACCCCCACCTTACCATGGACCCCTCCCCTCCTGGCCTGAGCATGCCCATTGCTCCAGCCACTGGGCCTGCCCACCAGCACCAGGTCAAGCTGCACCCTCTGTCTGGAGTGCCTCCCCTCTCCCCTTCCATTTCTCTTCTTCTCCTCTCCACCTTGGCCTTGTCTACTCTCTCCAGGGAACCTTAACGGAGACAGTTCTGTGTCCCCTCGTTTCTGCTTGCTCCTTTGAAACTCCACTGAGCTCCAAGTGTAAGACTGACCACCAGCTCCATAAAGGACCCACCCATCTCCCATGCCACCTGCAGCCACATGTGGCCTGTTTTACCTCCAACATGCCCTCCGGCCTGCATTCTGAGCTCTGGCCCTCAGTGTTTCTAGTGCCCAGCACACTGGCTGATGATAGTGTGAACTTAGCAGCCTGGATTGACTATGCAGGTGACCTGGCATGGCTGGGAGGTGCCCTGTGCCTCAGTCACACAGACCTGCCTTCCTGGGCTGCTTCTTCTGGCACCCAACCATGACAGTGCCCCTGTACCACCATGGTCTGGGCAAACACCGCATGAACTCTAAGCTCAGCCACCACAATGAGAAATGGAAAAAAAGGACAAGCTATTAATGAAATGTACCTTTGGGAGAATTATTTTTCCCCTAGTTGGTTATAGAAAGGGTTTAAGGTAAGGTTTGTAAAGCTTCTAATTAAGCCACAGGAGGACTTTCCAAGCTCACAGACACCTGGGCCTGCACAAGCCCAGATGACAGGGGTGGAGGGCCCTCCTGACACCAGCAGGCGATCCCGGCCCCGTCTGCATGGGTGAAGCTCCCTGAGAAGAGGCTCAGCCTCCCACCCTCCTCATCTGGGCTCTGCCCATGAGCTTCTCTCTACTCCCCTGTTCCCTGGTTCTGCTTATTGAGTGTCTGATCTGTGTGTTCAGGTGTTCAAGGACCCAAATGTAAATACGCACGGTCCCAAAAGAGGCATTTGGTTTCATCAACGTGACATCCCTAGGTAGTTATGATATACGGACAAAGGACTTTGAAAGAGATGGCCACTGAGAGCCGTGGCGGGCCGCGGCAGGCTTCCCGGAGGAGGTGGGGCCCCACTGCATCTTCAGGTTGACAGGCATCAGAGCAGCCTGCCTCATGTTCCCTGAACAGCTGAGTTCTCTGACAACATCCTGGCTGCAGGTCAGACTCCCTGAGTCCTCACAGCTACAGCCCTCTCAATCTCTGGGGTGCCACCAGGCACGAGAATTTTTAAAGTGTGAGCTTAGCAGCCTGGATGACGCCAATGTGCATCCAGCGCTGCAAATTTCTGCTTGAACAGCACCCCTGTTGTCGTGTGTGTTCTCATCCTTGACAAAATCCCTCCCATGCTGCACATGCACATGTACCTGTGCCCGTGTACACAGCCACATGCTCACACTGCCAGCAGTGTTGACTCAGGGTTCAGACCTCGGTTGAATGCCATGCAACCAGGAGTCCTTCCCAGATACAGGAGAGGTGGACCCCCAGCAGCAGCAGCAGCAGCAATGCCAACCCAGAGTTGCTGGGCACTGTGGGTAAGCACTTTGTAGGGGTGGAATCCCATGGTCCTTAAGCCAGTCCCAAGAGTTGGTCCTGATCACCATCAACCCTGCTTTATGCTTGGGGTAGAGGACACCAGCATGTGTAGTAATATGCCTAAGCTGGTACATGTGTGGCCCGTGCGGTCCAGCTCCTGGCTCTGTACTCACCATGTCATACTGTCCCCCATACATCCCTCCATGTCCCAGGCAGATCCCCTGGTCACTCCCTCCTTCTGTCCACAGGATGTCAGCATGTTTCTGTGCCTGCTCAACCCTCCACTGACACTACACTTCATTGTGTATCTACAGAAGTCAGGAGGGCCCTTCTGCAACCTGTCCTGCCAGACTCTGGAAGCTCGTGGATACCCAGAAGTGTGCAGCCAGGAACTCTCTGAATGCCCACTGCCTTGGCCTTTTCCCTCCTCCTCAGAAGCTCACTCCTCTTTCCACAGCAATGTGCAGTGTTGGTTTTACAAGCCCTCCCACCCCACCCCCACTTGACTCAGGACCAGGGGGATGTGAAGGGAGAAAGCTCTTCTCTTAGGGAGACTTTCATCCTATCAGTCTGGGGGATTAAAGTAAGATCAGGATGGCAATTACTTTGGGGGCTATCGTCTTTCTAACTGGAAATTCATAAGTACCTCGTATGTTTGGGTATCAGGCAGCAATATAGAAAGGACTCAGGGCCTTCACAGCTTGGTGGAGGGGAGAAAAGTAACACAAATCATGATACCAAGAAGTAGTTGGAATAGAGCACATTGCCAAGAGACAGTAGCCCACAGGGGACTCTTGGATCCCAGGATCTCAGATGGTTCCCGGAAAAGTGAGCAGCTGGCTTGGATCTTGCAGATGGGGATTGTGTCAGGAATAAAACAGGGTGACATGGGACAGCCCAAGCAGAGGTGAGAGTACATAGTGGTGCTGGGTTGCAGAGCCCAGCTTCTCAGCCCTGGAGGAGCTTAGGGCTGAGGGAGAGGTGAGGGGGCATCATGTGCCCTGGCATTGACTTCCATGCTAAGCAGTCAGATCCTCATGCCATGGGTAGCCAGCAACCACTAGGGCTTTCAGTCAGCATAGTGAGATCTGGGGCTGGGCAGGTGTCCATGCACACAGCCTGACCCTCTGCGTATTCTGCTTGGGAATGCTGTGTGGAGCAAGGGCTGAGTCCCATGAGGTACCCACCACAAAGGGGCTCTTGGTCGCCAAGAGGCCTTGGAAACAGCTATCTTCCAATGTGGCGAGGTCTGTGACTCTGCATTCTAGGGGAAGGGCCCTAGGAAGTCAAGCTGGGCATTGCTGTCCCCAAGAGAGATGCTCTGGAGTGCAGCCCAGGACGCGGAGCTGGGACAACATGCTGTAGGGAGGAGCCAGCCTGAGAAGATCAGAGCCTGTGCTGGGCCTCCTGGAGTGGCAGAGGGAAGGAGCAGACCTAAGGCCTAGTGCTCTCCACACAGGGCAGCCCCCAACTCTCCCACCCCCGTGGCCTTTTAAAGTTGAGAGCCTTTACTTGAGGGAACTTGTTAAAGAACCTCCTGCTCCACCCCAGGCCAAATGAATTAGAATCTACATTTTAATGGACCCCCAGGTAATTCCTAAGCATATTAAAGTTTGAACATTCTAGAACAGAGGGAGAAATGGATGCTGTTACTCAAACCAGTTGCCTCTGGCTGAGCTCTGTGGCCCTGACTGCCCCAAGCAAGCTCTAAGTCATCCAAGCTGAGTTGCCTTTCAGAATTAGCACAGGAAGTAGGAGGAGAGCACACAGCAGGTGCTCAGTTTGCACCAATTACATTCTTTGGTTTGTTATTGGAAAGTAAATGGAATGTGGTCTGGGGCCCTGTTGTGTACCACTGTGCCTCCTTGAGTTTGAGGTTAGCTCCTCCATAGCAGGGTCTTGAGAAACTGAGCATTGTTGACCTTCTGGAGGATATTTCCAGGCTTAAATGAAACAAGTTATTTCAAAACCCTCCGGCAGGTGGACTAGTCAAAACAAAGAAGCACACAAAATAAACAATAACAAAACCCCCCAAAACCATGCAGAGGGGCTGCTCCAAGCAGCCACCAACTGCTCACAGTTGCCAGCTGAGCTTCTTTCCCAGGTCCCACTAGGAGGTGCAGCTCTGGGAAAGACTATTAGGCACTTCAGCATCTCCCATAAGTTATGGGGGTCAAGAAGGGAATGATTTTTTTGTATTCAGAAAATCCTGTTGCTGTATTAAAGAACAACCAGCCAAAAAGTGTCACCTCTTAGTAGCTCCCCAGCAAGTTTCCGAATGTTTGCTGTCCAAAGCACATGGCTGAGTGTGGACAGAACCATCCCTCTGCAGAGAGCACATTTTCTTCCTGACCAGTGCTCAGCAGGGACCCTCACGGCCTGCTCCAGCCCATCTTTCCAGCTCGGCTCTACAGCAGGGCTTCAGGAACACAGCACTGCAGCCACGCTGGCCCCTCTTCCGTGGTGCTCCAGTCCTGGTGCCCTGGGCCTCACAGGGCTGCTGTTCCTCTGCTGGAATGCCCCTCCCTCCCTGATGCACTCCCTCCTGCTCCCTGGCAACAGCCCCTATGGAGCAACCCCACCTCCCCAGAGAGAACCAGGCCCTCCCCTCTCCTGGCCCACCACCCTGCCTCGCACTCTGTGGTTCTAGTGTGGCCGCCTCAGGAGATTCTGCTGTCTGTGGAAACAAATCTGTTTTTCACTAGGCTGCAATTCCCAATGGCCTCTTCTACCTATTCCTAACAGATATCCAAGTGGCTGGTGCTCAGCAGATGCTTAGTAAAACTTCATGATTTGCTGAAGCACAGAGGCACCCACACTCCACTGCTGCAGAGACCTAGCTTTCCAATCCTCTGGAGTCACCGGAAGCCTCCAACCCTCTCTACCAGTGGCAGGCCATCCAGATGGAAACCTTCACTGCTGTTTGTCATTGGCCACAAGGTGGCAATGTGCTGTCTCTAAACAGCTCTGCAGGCTGTGAGCTTAATATGGGGGGCTTCCGGGGAAGTGGGGTGCTGCTTCTACTCCAACCACAGGCCAGCCCTTCAGCAAACCTAGGAGCAGACTGATGGCCAGCACATCACCCTTTCCACCTTTGTCACCAAGCCACTCCCTACAGCAGTTGCATAATAAAAATTTTCAACAAAATTTGGTTATAAAATAAAGTCTGTGGTAACAGGACCATAGGTTCCTGGAACCCAAGAGGCAGCATCCCTGGAGTCTGGGACACTGCAGAAAGGAGGGGGCAACCAGGCAGCCTTTTGTGAAATACGCTTGATAAATGCTTTGGCAGGCTCTGTCCTAACCTCCGAGTCTCTCACCTGAACCAGAGCAGGCAGCAGATGCGGAGGAACCTCAGCAGGAGGCAGGGCCTGGGCTCAGACCCTCGCAGCTCACCCCTCTGACTCACGCACCTTAAGGAAGACTTGCTCCTCTGTGTCCACTTACCATGAAATAAACATGGACCTGTGAGCACTCCCCCCAGAGCCCAGGGCTGCTGCAGGCACAGTGCACAGAGACCAGTGGGCAGGGAGCCAGCCTCCCTCTGGGCGGGGCCTTTGCTATTCCTTTGTTTTACCTTCACCACCCAAACACCCTTTCCTGCCCCAGCTGCTCTCTGTTTGTGATTCTGTGAGATGCAGCTTAGTCTCTGTTCCTGGCAACCAGTTTCTAAAGCCCTCAGAATTCCAGGAGCTTAGAAGCATCTTTTCTTATTCTATGTTGAGTTTATGCTAATGTGGAGACCCTTGACAGACCCCTAGACAGCCTCAGGGGAGAGGCTGGCTGTCTGAAAAACCAAGGGGTCAGGAGGTTGGAATTTTCTCTCCAGGCCTCTGGGGAAGGGAGAAGAGCTGGGGATCTTGTGGAGGGCCAGTGGTCACCTTGGCCGTGAGGCCATGCACTGGAGTGCCCGTAGAAACCTTAATAGATGGGGCCTGACAGCTTCTAGGTTGGTGAGTATACCCAACTGAAGTGCCACCCTTGGGACGCCCTTGCAGGACTTGCCCTATGCCCTATGTATTCACCTGGCAGTTTGTCTGCATCCTTTCTGACATGCTTTATAACAAAGTGGGCAGCCCACATCTGGCTAGGGTCAGAGAAAGGACAGTGTGCGTGAGGTACCACCTGATGGCAAAGTGTTTCGTGCCGGAGACAACTCTTAAGTGTCCCTTTGCCCACATAGCCCCCTAAGGACGTGAATCCTCCTTCCTGGCTCACTATGATCTAGAGATTTGTCCAGGCACCCTGGTGCAGGGGGCACCCAGGCCTCTTGGTCACTTGCCTGGGCTCCCTCCCCAAAGCCTCAGTCATCGCACGTGGCCCGTTCCCAGGCCCTTCTGACTGTTCTAGCAGCACAGCCTTGCGCCAGGCCCTCCTACCTCTGGGGTCCATGGGCTGCACTCCTGCAAAACCACAAGGCTCAAAGCCAGGCTCCAAAACAGCTTCCTCTCTGGGGTCCACTAGGGCCTACCTCCTCCTGAGTAAACTTAGTGACACCATCCACCTGAGGTCCCACAACCAGGTAGAGTGCCTGTGTCCTCATCCCTTGCCAGGCTCATGCATAGTAGGTAAGATGACAAGGACAGAAGTAATGGCTTAGGGCAGTGCTGCATGCCAGGCTCTGTCCTCCACACTGCAGCCAGGTGACCTCATTGCATCCCCATAGAACAAGTGCATCACACACAGGAAAACAGCCACCAAGAGGGGAAAAGACCTGCCCAATGCTTGTCCAGAGGTGGAGGACCACACCCTGTTATTAGGTCAGAGGGCCTCTGCCCTTTACTCACAGGAGGTACATGACCCAGGACAGATGGGTCTGCAGATTGATAGGCAAATGTGCCAAGTCCTGACTCCTTTTGCAGAGGAGCCAAGGGTCCCAGGAAGCAGCATTAACCACTCCAGGATCAGCCTCTTCCTCACCTTTAAAAGCCTGACCAGCCTGCGGTGGCCTGCCAGGCGCACTGCCTTCCCGCTCCTTGCTTCGGAAGTCGCCCAGCTGAGCAGGGAAGGAGTGGACTGGCTGACTGCCCACAGCTCACAGCCCGAGCAGGGATGCCTGGAGGGGATCTTTCAGGAATTTGGGGTAACCTAATCTAGCTCAAATGGGCTGAAGTAGCTGACCCCTTGACCCCTTCACTGGGCCTGCACAAGTGTCTCATGGGCGTCCTTTTGATGGCAGGGGTCTCAATTCCACTCACACATCATGCAGAGGCTGCTGGTTTCTGGACATGCTTCCTGTGAAGACAATGACCACCTGCTACTTCACTTTTGCTGACCTCCAGTCACCTTTCCCACACCTCAGACCACCCCGCTTCTTTGCCCCATAAAGATACCTGAACCCCATTCTTAGGGAGGCAGATTTGAGGCTCCTCCTCCATCTCCATGGCATTGGCACCTGTGAGCTAACTTTCTCTTTTGTAAACCTGGTAGCTTCCATGACAGGCTTACTGCCCTGTGGGCATGACTTCTTTCCATCAGACCCACAGGGTCAGCCCTCTAGTTACCTGGAGCTCTGAGCATAGCTGGGAGAGCGTTTCTTCAACAGCAAGGGCCTCTAGGAAGAAAGAAGCAAATACCATACAGTTAAACGAACATGCACGGAAATGAAGATGCTGTCAATTAAAAGAAGAACAAGTTTCAAGTTCTCATTAAAATCACAGGAACAAACACGATTGATGAAGGCTCCTCTCCATGCATTCCTAACCAGCTGGAGGCACCGTGCTTACCGACAGAATAAACCTGATTTGGAACCAAGGGCTAAGCCCTAGGTAAAGACCAAAGTCCTCTCATCAATGCATTTATATAAAAGTAGATCCTCCTAAACTGTATAGGGCTTTTTTGGGTCAAAGTGATTTTTTTTTCTTTAGGTACTGGGGATTGAACCCAGGGGCACTTAACCACTGAGCCACAAACCCATCCCTTTTTTGTATTTTATTAGAGACAGAGGCTTGCCAAGTTGCTTAGGGACTCACTAAGTCCCTGAGGCTGACATGGAACTCAAGATGCTCCTGCCTCAGCTTCCAGAGCTGCTGGGATTGCTGGCATGTGCCGCTGAACCCAGAGTGATTCCATTTTTATTTCCACTTTTTGAGGCACATGGATACACACAACACAGATATATCTTTCCAAGACATAAAGAGCATGGATTTGTATCTCCATCTCACCCATGAAAGATCAGAAGCCTAGAGAAGTGGGGTGGCAGATCTGAGTCCTCTGCGGGCTCCAGGGACTAGGACAGTAATGAACACCTAACTTTCCATGCCAACATGGTCCCTGCAATGTCACTGTGGCAGCATGGACCAGTGGTGCAGCTCTCAGGGATGTAATGTTCATGGTCATTACTTTTTGGAGTTATTCCCTAGTTTCACAGTGCCATCTGCATGTGGCTGTGGTAGGTGCACTGTTTCCCAGGTGAGTGTGAGCAATCCCTTAGCACCTGGGATCCTTCCTGCAACACAAGTAGCACAAACCTCTCCACCTGACTGCTGACCTCAGGTCTGCAAGGTCCCCAACCCAAGCAAAACAGAGCTTTGTCATATTGGTTTTGTCTGCATCCCCAATGTCTAGCACAACTCCTGCACACAGTAGGTGCTATGTGTCAATACAAATATGATGAGTTGGTATAAAGAAACTTGGTTCCTTTGGGTTAAGAAAAATGCTACATCAGAAAAAGCCAAATGCAGCTGAATGATATCCATTTTCTCTCTGAGTGATGTGAATCGCACCGATTCTCTGCATGTCTTTATAGCATGCATAAGATTGACACCTGAAAAACATTTTGAGGATTGCCTGATTCAAAGAGTAGTGCTTGAGCACAGGATTTGACTGGGGTGTCAGAGCTGATAGTGATGGATGGCAAGAGGCTTCGGCATTCAATCCTAATACCACAACTCCATACGTTCTCCTTCAGGCCCAGTGTCGGGGGAGTGGATAAGGGATCTGAGGAGCGACTGCTCTCAAAGACCTCAAGACTGCTGGGGAATGGGGACATGCAAATGCATCATTACACCTGTGTTCACTGCCATGATGGACACTGGGTAAGACGTGGACACCACCTCTGCCATGGTTTTTGTAGCCGTTGATTTCCAGGGGTGTAGATGGGGAAGTTAAGGTCTCTGACACTAGAACAGGTGTTAACCCTGAATTTCAGGTTAAGGGCTCAGACGCTGCTCTAGAGACCTATGAGCAGAACTGCAACGCAAGCCCTACTGTAACTGAGGATGACATAAGACCTTCCAGGGGTCAGTACAGGGACTCCGAGCCTTGCCATGGTTCTGTCACACACAGGGCTGTGCGACCCTGCCCCTTCTACCTCTCTGTGCCATCATCTGTCAATCAAGAGGGATTTAGGCTTAATAATCTCTATGATGTCTAACCTTCAGAAAATCCATGTGCAAGAATCTATTTGTCTCAAGACAGCTAAATCTGATGGATATTAGTAGGTTTCTGTAATCATCCAGATTAATTATAAGTATTTAATATTTACATATACAAACATATATGAATGGGTGTATGCGGCTGTGCATATCATTCTTTACTATGGACATGTAGCTCTTTATTAGGATTGTTTTCCACTCTGAAGCTGCAATTCTATAATTACTGCCTAGTTAAGGAAAGACTCTAAACCCACATTCTCCCCTAGAAGGCAGCATAACATTATGTACCAGGCAGGTACACACTACGTGTTCTGTGTTTGGTGGATAAGTGAATGAGTGGATGAGTATACTCTTAGACACTAATATCTAGACTTACACATTGCCCTTTGAATACTGCCTCCTTCTAGAATGAGGTAGGGCACACTAACCCTCCCTGAACAATAGATGTTACCATGAAACTTAGCAAAGCATGATACCGTTTCTCCAGCCCAGTGACCAAGGGGCAACATTAGCTTCTGGTCTTTTCCCTGCCCTTGGCCCCTTACCCAGCTCCATGTGTGGCAGCTCTGGGATGTCCCTCATGATGAGTAGGAAGTAGAGGCGGAGGCCCCGGTAGGCTTGTAGTAGCAGGAGACACAGGTCGCGGTGCCACTTGTGGGCATGCTGCATGCAGTTCTCTGAGGGGACATAGAAGCTTCCCTGTGGGTGGAACAGAAACAAAGCTGAGGAATGGCATACCTGGGCTAGTAGCACAGGGATCCTTCCCTCCACCTGCTGTGTCAACCATCAAGGACTGTGTGGAAGAGAGAGACCTGAGTTCCCATGTCTTCTTTGTCCCTCTATGTGGGAAAAATAACGAAATCCAAAATACTCCTGTTTTGCCATGTTCAAATTAAAATAATAATAATAATATAATAATGATGATGTTGATGATGATTGTGATGGTGATAATGGTGGTCGTGATGGTGATATGGTATTGATGATGATGGTGATTGCTAAAGATGGTGATAATAATAATGATGGTGATAATAATGGTGATGGTAATAATGGTGTTGATGGTGATGATGGTGGTGGTATTGATGATTATATGGTGGTGATTGTTGAAGATGGTGATGATAATAGTGATGCAGATGATGGTGGAGGCATTGATGGTGATATGGTGTTGATGATGGTGGTGATTGCTGAAGATGATGATGATGGTGATGATAATGGTGATGGTGATGATGGTGGAGGTGTTGATGGTGACATGGTGTTGACGATGATGGTGGTGAATGCTGAAGATGGTAATAATGGTGATGCTAATGGTGATGGTGATAATGATGTTGATGGTGTTGATGGTGACGATGGTGGAGGTGTTGATGTTGATATGTGTTGATGCTGATGGTGGTGGTTGCTGAAGGTGGTGATGATAATTGTGATGGAGATGATGGTGGTGGTGTTGATAATTGTGATGATGGTGGTGATGATGGTGAATGATGCTGGCAATGGTGGTGGTAATGGTGACATTGTGTTGATGATGGTGATGATTAATGAAAAAGGTGACTAGTGACAATGTTGATGATGATGATGATGGCAAAGATGCCCTGACATGGCAGGTTTGTGAAACTGAGTGGGGCCCACTTAAGGTCCCCTTCCACTGACTGTGCCAGGGTCCATGCTAAGAAGAGGCAGGGACAAAGGCAGGCAGGTCTATTGGCACAGAGTGATAAAAAGAATTTGAAAGACCCTCGTGGCAGTCGGAGGAGTAGCAGCTATTGCTTAAAAGGAGGGAAACTGTCTTGTAAGAAGAATGAGGTGCTGAGGAGTTGCCTAACCTGTGTGGAACACACCCCCTGGGGAGCTCTGGATGTGGGCACACGTGTCAGAGTGCTCTGTGTTACATATTTAGTTGGTGGACATAGAACTGATGACACTGGTAGAATTACAAAGTGTTTTGTCAAATGAGAAAATGATGCTTACATCCACAAAGAACTTGGAGACCTAGACGTGACAAAAAGGAAGAAATGGGACAATTTTGACTCTTTTTTTTTTTTCCTTTGGTACCAGGGATTGAACTCAGGGGCACTTGACCACTAACCACATCCCCAGCACCCTCCTTTTTTAAAATTTTATTTAGAGACAGGGTCTCACTGAGTTGCTTAGCATCTTGCTTTTGCTGAGGCTGGCTTTGAACTCCTGATCTTCCTGCCTCAGTCTCCTGAGCCTCTGGGACAACTTTGACTTTCTTGTCAACCCAAGAGACAAGGACATCCTGAGGTCAATGTTGGAGAGATGTGTTCTGAGGGCAGAGAAAGGAGTCCCACAGGGAAGTGCTCAGATGGGGAGAAGGGAAGCCGCTGGGCAGAGGGCTGGAAGATGGTGGAGTGAGGACCTGTGTCCCTCTGTTGCCCACATGGCCTGGTGGGAGGAATCGATGTCTCTGCGTCCTGTTGAACAGCCGGGCAACGGGTCGGTCTACTCTCCTGGCTCTGAGCCTTGGTCTACATGGCGGGTGACTCTGGCAGCCTCGTGCTCCAGTTTTTCTCCTTTACCCTTGCTGCCACCTGCGAGGGCATAACTGGTCCAGTGGGGACAGAACAGGTCTGATGAGGCCAACGGCCATCGGCACTCCCATCTGTGCTCCCAGTTGTGAGCAGGCGATGATGGGACTGATGACACCCTTTGTCCCCACTTGTCTTGATGACTGGGTAACATGGGCTGCAAGGCAGTATGCATCAGACCAGATAAAAATCTCAGGAATGTCATCACCTGGTTCGGAGACAGAGAGGTCACTGGTGTGCTTTCAGGGTCACTAAATGTGAGGGCGGGAAGTGCACAGGTGGAGCAGGGCACTGCACTCTCTCGGAGGCCTCCCAGAGGCTCACTGATGGCTTGGGCTCTGGACTTGCAGAGAGGCCTGGCCTCACAGCACGGACCCTGTCTTTGGACCCAGCCATTGACCAGCACTGGGTGAGGGCCACCCAGGGCGGATGGGAGCAGCTGTCTCTAGACAGGCAATCCGCACACTCAGCTGATTGCTCTTGGCCCCCAGCTTCCTGGCAGTGTGAGGAAGGGGTGCCTGCAGCCCAGGGAAGGTTCTGGGTGGTAGACCCACCCATGTCTGCTGGAGACACCCTCTGCTGCCACCTCTTCTCCTCAGGGCCTCACTTTCCTCAGTTCTGAATCCTAGCTTTGGATTATAAAGATTCCAGGTCCCTTTTGATTTGAATTTAAGAGAGACATTCAACAAGGTTTGCAGTCAAAGGACGTGCTCATTTCACAACCCGAAAATTCAGCCCCTGGAATGTCTGTGTCTCCCAGAACTCAGGCCAATGCACACACTGCCATTTCCCTTCTTTCCTATTATTAAAATCAAATTACAGAGAAGCCAGTGCAGCTGTGGAAAGACTAGCAGAGCTTGCACAGAAGAGGGAGCTCATGAGAGTCCCCAGGCCTGCAGAGCAGAAAGGAAACCACTGTTCATAGACCATATGGACAGTTCCATCACCAACCTGCAACAAGCACCGTCAGTGCTTCCACCAGCACTAATGTTGCTTTTCAAAATAGAATGTAGCTGTTTAAAGAGAAAAACTCAGTGTCACCAAAGAAAACACAACACAAAGTAAAGTGCCCCATTCTCAAGTGCGATGATTTCTTGTGGATCTTCTAGAACTCTTCCATACCCGTGTGCACCTCTGTTTTAGCATGTGTGTTCTCACAATGCATATGCATATTCCAAATTCACGCACAGATATACGCATGAGTTAGGGAATGCTCCTGTCATTTCTCAGTCCTTTTTTTTAAAAAAAAAAAAATCTCTTAACAGGTCTCAGGTTCCCTCTGATCCTATGGAACAGTAAAGCATTTGGAACGCCTGTTTCCACTTCCTGGATGGAAAGACTGGCTCAGAGAGCTGAATGGTTAGCGCTGGTTCCTCTTCTTGGCAGCTGCAGAAATGATCCTGGAAGCTCAGGTGCCAAAGCCGGGCAGTCCTCCCTCAGCATGCAGCACGCGCCTCTGAAAACCGCGCCTGGCAGAGAACAGATGCTCCACAAAGGTCTGCCTCCTTTGACAGAGGCATTAATTTAAGTCCTGCCGTGTCTCCATTAGCTGTGACTAAGCAGACGGGACTATACAAAGGGCCTTATGAAGGCACCACGCGTCCCCAGTTAGTCAGCTTCAAGCATCCCTGGGAATCCTGTTTTCTGTGCTGCCTTCTGCTCATAACTCCATTTTCTTATCACCATGACCTTGTTTTTAAAGTGCTTCAGACCCCAGTGAAGAAGGCAAGGAAGCTATGAAGCCTGTTATTAAATTTCACATTTAAAGCTAGACCCTGTGGCTATAATCCCAGCTACTCAGGAGGCTGAAGCAGGAGGACTGCAAGTCTGAAGCCAGCTGCAGCAACTTAGCAAAAATAAAAGGACTCAGAATAAAATGAAAAGGACTAAGAGTGCAGCTCAGTGGTAAAGCACTTGCCTAGATGTAGAGTGTATGAGACCATAAATTGAATCCCTAATACCAAAAAAGGAAAAGAGAGGAGGGGGGATCTCAATCCTAATATCATGAATGTTTCCAGAAAGATACAAAGAGTACTTTAGGGAACCTTCATAAAGCTGATTCCGTATGATTATTGAAGTAATAAATGTCAAAATGATAATCCAAAGAGAGAACCTGAAAAATATATGGGTAAAGATTGTTATAGCAGACAAAAAAGAAAAAGGAGAAAGAAAGAAAAGAGAAACCTCCATTTTCCATAAACTACTCACCAGCATGACTTTTGGAAAGTGAGTAATATATCACAGAAAATCCCATTAGCCAGCCCTCCAGGCCTGCAGAGCCCATGTCAGTGTGGAAAAGCCAATGAGCGCCTGTTAGAATCGGATTGAAAATCCTTGCACAATCTCCCTGGCACAGAGAAAGAACACTCTAGCAACCTACTTTTCAAAGTCTGGGATAAAAACCCTAAATAATGAAACAGGACTCCAGCAGGCCAGACATACCATTAGGCTGCACATGAACCCACAGGAGAGGGCTCTTGCCGGGGTCCAACCCACACTGGGGCACACCAAGGGAGTGTCTCTCCCTTCCTGAGGGTGAACTAAGACAAGTGAAAGTGGGAAAAGACTTGTCTGGTTGGAGTAAAGCATCGAGTCTGCAGCACCGGCTCCAGCCAACATTGTTTTAGTTTTGGGACTCAAACTCATGTTTGAGTTCTTGCTTTGCTTCTTCTTACCAACGTGGCTTTGGGCAGTTCATCCTATCCCTGCCCTGCAGATGCACCATCTGTAAAGAGGGGACCATCGTAGCTGCTGTTAAAGAATAAATGAAACCATTCTGGAAAAATGCGGACTGATGCAATGTTCTAATGGAGAATGGGAGCAAACGGAAAGGCATGTTTGTGCATCAAGGATATGCACATTGATGGCCTCTGTCAACATGTCTATGGGTGGTACAGCATAAGAATCAACAGTGACCCACCAAAAACCTTGTAGCTGCATCTTAACTCAACAGATGTCCAGTGGGAGCTCTGCAGGGGTGTGGTTCCGTTTGAATACAGAACTTGCTGACGGATCTGCCCTTCAACCACCATGTGACTGAGCCAACCCCTTACAGCACCAGTTTGAACATGGAAAGTCAGGATAAAAATGGAGTTAGGTGCTTAGGAAAGTGTTTGATATATAGTTAAGTATGTACTAACTGCTAATTAAGAACCTTTA